AAGTTCCTCCCAAGATTGATATTATAGTCTTTCACTGCACTTTTAAATTGGTCCAAATTCAGAAACTCCATACCAAGTTCTAAATAGACATGCCCAAAAGAAGCTTGTTCATTAAACTTTGGCGAGACAGGTCTAACATTCTCATCATCATCACTTGAAGGAGGAGTCTTCAACTCCTCAGACAGATAGGTATATCATTCTTCTTCAAATGACATGATGTCTTCCTCTTCATCAACTTCTTCAGATTCAGAGTCTTCAATGGTGGCATCCTTCTTAACTGCCTTCTTCCTTGGGGTCTGTTTTGTAGGCCTTTTTTTCTCTACCAATGGTACAGCCTGTTCATCCTCATCTTCAGAATGATCCTCAACACCATGTGGGGGAAGCTTGTATGCCTCATCCTCTGCACTCTCATATGAATCTAACTGTGAGGAAGCAACCTCATCATCTGCATTATCATCTTTGGACCCATTACCACCATCCTCTGCACTTTCTTCTTCATGGTCTGAATTGACCCCATCATCATGTGAATTCAAGCCATCAGCACCTTATGCATGGTCTTCATGTTAATTGACCCCATCATCACCCTGTGCATGGTCCTCATTATATGTGGAACTAATCACATTATCCTCTGCACTGTCATGTTGAGGTGAACCAAACTCATGAATTGAAATGCAGTCCTCAAAGCAGACATGTATCTCATTGCCATTAGCCAAAGCAGCCTCACACATGGCACACACATCTGAATCGGTACTAAGTGGTCTCAACCCTTGTTCCAAATCAGGTACACCAGGCTTTAGCCACATCATCTTTTTGCATTTTTCATACCCAAATTGCTTAAACAGGGTGTCAAGGTCACGGATATTGCAGTAGTCAATGTCCATCTCTGGCAATGAGTCCACCCTCCCATTTATATAGGCCATCACTCCATCTTCATCTCTTACTAAAATACCACCATGATGATAAACAATCACTATGTATTCTGACATCTGTAAAAACCAAAAAATCGAATCTTTCATTAATCCAACGGCCAGACATGTCGACCACTTAAACAATACAAAGCAATAAACAAACAAACAAAGGTGGATGCTGACTTTTTTTCCCAACGATTTCCATGGGGTTTTTAATTGTTACTGGGTCAACCATGGACCACTTAAACAAAATAGGGACCACACCACCCGGTACTTACTTTCTTTAACCTAAACCCTAAAGGGAAACATGGACCACGATGTCCACTTCGCATGCAGAAAAAAACACGCATTAAACAAAGGTGAACAACACGGGGACCACGGACAAAGAATAATAAAAACATGTTCCAACATACGAAGTGGCTCATACCTTTTTGTATGGATGGTTGAGCCTCACACAAAACCAAAGAACTTTTCTTCCACCGGTTCCCTCCGATTGTTGAAGAACTTCGTAATCAAAACACAGGCGAATGTTTACAGCACGGTTGTCTTCTTTCTCAACAATGGAGCGTCGAAGTTTCAAGAGAGGAAAATTGTAAAGTGACCAACGGTTAGGTGAGGGACAATTTTGGGTTTAATCAAAAAAGAGTCTGACCAACATGGATCTGCTCTCTCCACATGACGTCGTTCCATCTCCAACGTGGCATTCAACATGTCACTTAACGTTACACTTCAGCACCGTCAGTGACACCGTGAGTATTTGGGCTAACAGAAGGACTAACGTGGGTCCTGTTTGTCTTTGTTGGGGACTATCCAACGAATTTATTTTTATTAGGGACTAATTTGGGTACTGAATTTTTTGTCAGGGACCAATTTAAGTATTTACTCATTAAATTATTTCAAAAATGGAATTTACATATGCACACAAATAAAATATTTTAAAAGTTTCAATTTTATTTTCTGATGAAGCTGTTATTCATAATTATTATTTAGGATATGTTAAGTTCATAAAATATATTTTTAAAGAAAAAATTCTTAAATACAACGAGTATAATGTTGAAAAAAATTATAGTTTTTGTTATTTGTTGTTACTTTTTATTTCTTAGTTTTTTTCTTATCAACACTTTCACCCTATACATTTAATGATATTACCAAGTGTCCTTAGGACATTAGTTAATAAAAATAATATTAAATAAAAATAATTTTTTTCTAAAGTTTTTAATGTGTTGAATGCTTTGTTTTGTTTGTTGTCAAGAAGAAAAAGAAAAGCTAAAATACATCTTACAAGCATATTTCAAACATTTGTTATTTCATTGCGTAATTTAAATATATTATATTGTGTTTACCGAATATATATATATATAGGGACAAAATTCTTTGACACCGGTGTCAAACTTTGAAATTTGACACCAAATCGTAACCCTTGATTACTGCCAATCAACGGTTATCATTTATTGTGAATAAATAATTAATTAAGAAGTTTGATTCCCAATAATGATAACCATTGATTGACGAAAATCAATCGTTAAGATTTGGCGTCAAATTTTAAAATTTTACACTGGTGTCAAAAGATCCTATCTTTGATATATATGTGAAAAGTATTTCTACATTTCTGCAGCCACTTTAGTTAAGGTTGTCTACAGCTACCCATTTACGACCGGTCGTACATTAAAAATGCATTTTCTCTCTCCGCCACGTCAGCCGACAATGTCTGAGAAGAGAAAAAAAAAAGCAACTTTATTGTTATAACTAAGTACGACCGGTCGTACTTAGTTAAAAAGGGTAGATGTAGATAACCTTATCTAAAGTGGCTGTAGAAATATTTTTCCCATATATATATATATATATATATATATATATATATATATATATATATATATATATATATATATATAAAGGGTCTATCTAGTGTTTAGTCACTATATATAAGGTTTTGTCCAATAATCACATTATATCTATGTACTTCTGGGAATACATAATTATAATATTAAAATTGTAATTTTTTTCACTTTCCACATCAACAGACAAGTCTATGAAGAGAAAAAAAATACAACTTACATTATAACTATGTATTCCCCAGAGTACATAGTTATAATATGGTGACTGCACACACACACTTATATATGGACAAAAAGAAGTATCTTTTTAAAGGATATAAACTTGTATTCTTTTAGGTGATTTACACAAAGTGTGACTGGTAAGACTTTGTGTTAATATGAAGAGTTACTTTTTTTTCTCTCCCCAGTCACATCCCTGATGTGTAAAGTAAAAAAAAAATTCAGATTTACACAAAGTATTACTGGTCAGACTTTGTGTAAATAACTAAAAAGACAAAACTTGTGTCTTTTAAAAGGGCATCCACTGAACCCTATATATATGGCATGGTCAACTTACACCGGTATAAGAATAATAAGTCTTACACCAAATTTTAACCTTTAATTTTCATGAATCTAATGGTTATAATTTATTGAATCATACTTATTAATTTTTAGTAAATTATAACCGTTAGATGCACAAAAATCAACAATTAAAATTTAATATAAGACTTCTTATTCTTATAACCATACAATTTAATCTTATTCAATATATGCAAGTAATCCCAAAAATTTCCATGTATGCAAGTAATCCTAAATGAGTGAAAAGGTTGAGCTACAAGTAGTCCCAAAAATTTCCATATAGAGCATAACTAAAAGAGAAAGCTAGCGACCCCTTACCTTACTATTTCCATTTTGAGAAATATATATTACCACGTATTTTACTATAGCCATTACAATAGTCATGCTTGGGAATGAGCTTGTAACCTATAATAGCTGAGCATTTGTTCGGAAAATTTGTTGAGGGATCAAAAGCAAAGAAGGGGTGGCAGAAAGCCATAGATACTGAGGACTTCAAGTTGAGAATAATATAAGAGTATATAGGAGGAATGCAGAAAATGAGTGTACCAATTGACCCTTTTGTATAGACTATTGCTCGTTCGTATAAAGCATGCGGGGCTACAAGATTGTGACTATTCACAAATACATTTGTGAATATCATGGGTTGGCATATGGAGAGAAGTAGCCAGATGACAGATAGTGGGGGAGATATTGGTAGGATTGACATGGATGCTTCAACGAACAAAATTCGTCTACGCAATATTCCACTTAAATTTGAACCACATACCTTCGATGTATCAAAAAAGTAAATATTAATTGCATATAAAATTTGTTTCCATAGTCTCACTACATTGTGCATTATTGGTTTTCAATGATTGAATAAAAAGGGAAAAGTAGAAAAAAAAAAAATCTGAATTATATTTTGTTATCATTTACCCCTAATTATAATGTTTTTCTTTCAAGTCCATTTTAATACTGTTAGAAATTGGATTTTTCTGTCCATTTTGCTCCTATTAAAAGAATCATTTGAGTCCGTATATAGCATGATTAATCAAGTCAGTGATGAAACACAAGCCTGATATATTTTTTATATGTAAAATGAGTACCGAGATGAAGCAAAGTAATTAGATCCAAATATGAACATTGATATGGAAGCAATTACACATGGAAGAAAAGAACAAAAAATTCACGACAGATTCATGGTACAAATACATTACAAATCGCATGATCCGTGGCAGATTTACAACAAATTTTTTTTTTAATTGAATGAAAATTTTAAATTGATTGCTGCGACCATGGAACCTCGTTAATTAAAAGTGCTGCTAAAGCTGTCAGACATGAGTGCTCCATGTGACATCCTCTATAATTAATTAGTATAGAGAATATTACATAACTATTTAACAATAATAACAAGAAAAATAAAGGAATGTAAACTTTTAAACATTGATAGATAAAACAAACATTCATAAGTTATTTTGTACGTAGTTTTGATGTCAAATACATATATTTTACATTCGGGCTATTTTACATTAAATTATATATATATCCTATACTATTTTACATCAGTTCGGTACATATATTATATCCTAACCACTTGAAGTTACAAATTTGTACACTACTTCAGTCTCATCTAGTCAATCCTATATATAAATGTTTGTACCCTATCTTGATAAAATATAGCAACTACTACTTGATTCCCTAGCACAATATAAAACTCCAAATGATCTTCATAGAAATAGATCGAAATGCCCCATCCTTCATCAATGAAACACCAATTAGGCATGATGATTCTCTGGAATGGTTAGCATAAAAACAAACACTTGTAAGAAAAATCTCAGTAATATTGAGATTTTCTAACTATAATTATTCCGGCTGCAATAACAGAAAATATCATCTCTCAAGTATATTTAAAATGAGAAAATAATAAAAGAAATAATAAACATATGACAAATTGTGTAATATTTAACCGAAGCTATTAAAGCCCAAAATTTTACAGGTCTCTACATGTAAAGGTTTCGATTGGCGGAGCTCAAGCCAAGTAAGACGTCCCTTACATTATTATCGTCTGAACCCAAATCTTTGTGGGTCAGTTCACATCAGAATCATACAGTTAAAATTATACATTCTATCAACATTCATTTGGTACCAAAAGAATTATCAATCTTATAACAAATTTCATAGAACTAAAATTTTATAACTAAATAAAAGATCAAACTAAAAGTAGAAATGAAGCCAAATGGAAGAAATTAAAGAAAAGATTTGACAAAATAATGGCATTTTCACAACTTTTCTAAAAAATATCAACTTTAAAATAAAGAAGAGAGACAAAAGAATAAGCTTTGGGTACTTCAAAATAATAAGGTTTGATGATTTTGTTTTGTCCAAAGGTTTTAATAGGAGTAGTTTTGATCATTGTGTGTACTTCAAATAGTTGCATGATGATTGTTTTATCTACTTGCTAATTTATGTTGATGACATATTAATTGCATCTAAGGACATAAATGAAATTAATAAACTGAAATCATTGTTTAAAAATAAATTTGAGATGAAATTCCTTGGTCCAGCCAAGAGGATACTTGGCATGGACATTACAAGGATAAGGCTTTTGACATATACCTGGCCAAACCTGTAGGTGTTTCCCTTGCTGGTCACTTCAGGTTGAAGACTGTAAATGGCGAGTTAGCCTCGGATAAGGCTTTTTTTATGTGCAATATTCCATACTCAAATGTTGTAGGATGCTTAATGTATGCCATGATAGGTTCTAGGACTGATATTGCATATGGTGTTAGTGTAGTTAGTAGATACATGAGTAAACCATCTAACAAACATTGGAATATTGTGAAATGGTTGCTTCGATACCTTAGTGGCTCTATTGATTGTTGCATTCATTATACTGCTGAAAACTCAGTTGATTTTGACATTGCTGGTTATTGTGATTCTGATTATGCTGCTAACCTTGACAAAAGAAGGTCTCTAACTGGTTTTATTTTTTGTGTGGGAGGAAATATGGTGAGCTAGAAGGCAAGCTTGCAACACATTATGGCACTCTCCACAACTGAAGCAGAATATGTGGCCCTCGCAGAAGCTGTCAAGGAGGCAATATGACTACATGAAATTGTCTCTGAGTTGGGCTTAGGTAAGGATCCACCAAATTTATTTTCTGATTCTCAATCTGCCATACACTTGTCCAAAAGTGGTGTGTAACAGCTCGTACGTACTGGTGTTGTTAACATTGATTATGATATTAAGCGTAGTTACAATCACAGTAATTCACTTAAAAATGTGAGTAAACTTTTTTCTTTTCATTACGTAAACATTTGAAAACAATAATAAAACATAATGACATAAGTTGTGATCATAACTGTGGGCAGATGAATCCGGAGTTTTTCGGTCATTCAGTGAAATCCCATTCACCAATATCTAAATAATTCCTTGACGATTTAAAAAATCAAAATTTTAACATTCACCAAAGTCCTTTAATTTCCCTTGAGCAGATGAATCCGGAGTTTTCCGGTTATTCGGTGAAATCACAGTTTTAAGTTGTTATGTACATTGTAGGCACGTTTTCCCAAAACCCTAATTTCAATCAATTTTCATCAATAATCATAAATCTTAGTCCTATGTATCTTTTTCAACTTATTGCCAAGCCTAGATCTCAAATTTCATTCGACACGCTTTTCGATACAACTGTTCCGCTGTATTTTTACCCGATAAAAACGATATTCATCAAATTTTCATAAAACTTGTCTAACCACTTAATTTTTCGTTCTAAATCCATTTTCAGGGTTAGTTTTCCCATCTGAGACTTTCTACTAACATTTCATTGTATGGGATTACGTGTTTGTCAAATTACCGTTTTACCCTTTTTCGTATTTTGACTCAGAATTCAGGATTTTCACTAATCCTACCCTTTAATCCATATTTTTAACTATAATTATAGGTTTTATAATTACGAGGTGTTATTTGGTGCATACCATGAAATGATCAAACATACAGATGCTAGGTTCCATTTCATAAGGAAAATAATTAATAATGGTAAGGTTAATGTGAATAAAATATCAACTGATATAAATCCTGCTGATATTTTGACTAAGACAGTTCTTGTTAGTAAATTTAGGGAGGCTCTAAATTTGCTGAAAATAAAACCTCCCTAATTGCATGCATAGCATAGGCCTTAGGTTAAACGCCAGAAAAACTCTGGTATGCACTTTGTTTTGTTGTATGTTTAGTAAATAGGTGGAGATTTGTTAAATATAATTTCTAAACATGTGTTATCTTGAATCATTGGGTCTGTTACTTTTTATTATTTACATTGCAAATGGACTGTTGCTGCTTTATTGTCTCAGTTTGCTTCCCTATTGTTATGTGGGCCAATGATTTGGTTGCCCGTAGCTGAGGCCCATTTTCTTATTGCTAGTTATTTAAAATCAAGAATTCAAATATTGCACAATTGTCCTATGTCTATCTCTAGATCACAAGGATTATGATGAATTTATCAAATCAGGGTTCATGCACCAACATCTCTATTATAATATAATTCCCCTAAATCAATCTATAAGGAACAAACTCAAAGAAATAATTAAAACAGATAAATTCATTCAATTATAAAAAGAGAAGAATTCGGAGACAATTTAATTCATAACATAAAGATTCAATTGGGTTTCATCTTCCCTTAACTACATAAAAATTTAGCCAAACATAACGAAATCAAAGACAAGAGAAAGTAAAGAAAATTCCCCAAACTCCATTGGTGTGATGGCGTGAAGAATCCTCAAAACCCCCAGCTTTTTCTTGAATTCAAACTGCTCCCGATGCTCCAAAGCATGAAAGACGTGTTTCTCTCTCCAAAGTAGGATTTGCTCTTCTCAATTGTTCAAAATCCTCTTGTTTTTTAATGAGCCCCTTATTTATAGTGATGAAACTATATCTTTTAATTTCCAATAAGATCTTTTATGGAATCTTTACTATAATCTCTAATCATATCTTTAATCAAATCTTTAAAATCTTCTCTTTTATATTTAAAGGAAACAATTTCCTAAAAATATTTAAGAGAATCTTCAATCAATTATATGATTCAGAAATTCAAAACAAATCCACTTGAGCTCTCCAATTTATCTTTTTATTGAGATGAAAATTACTGCACAATATAAGAATTTTTATGAGAATATTACTGAGAATGAAATAATGCTTTAATTATAATTCTCATAACTTTTAATTAATTTTAAATCAATTTCATGCTCATATTAACCCTTAATACATGATTAATTGGAGACTCATTAGAAACTCTCTCACAAAGAGTTTATGAACAAAGTATAAAATCAGTGGCGAAGACATATACATTCTGGGTGTGACCTCGTCCGAGCTAAATTTTAATAAATTATACTTATTATGTATAATTATATAATTAATTATAATTTAGTTCGGGTTAAAATTGTAATTTGGTCCGGGCTACATTTTGTAATTTGGCCCTATCTAAAACTTAAAATATTTTTTGTAAGAGATTTGGATAAGTTGTATTAGGTTATGTGTGCAATTTTCACTTGTATAAAAAAATAAAATATTTTTAGTAAAATTAAAAATTATTTAATAAAATATATAACTCTTTTTGGTGCTGCCTGCTCAGGTATTCTTTATTTGATATAATTTAAATATATTATGATATGAACTAATTAAAATTAAAAAAAATAAATACACATAATTTTTTGGACCGGACTCAAATTGGAATCCAGCTCCTACACTGTATACAATCTTGGTGTTCTTTTTCTTTATGCTTTTCTCTTCTGCAAGTTATTTTTTTTGGAGTGATTCTTGGTTGAGAATTGTAACATAAGGAATAATTGAAGTTTTGTATGGACGTGTTAACCTTGCATGTATTTTCAATCCCCACATGTTATTAATATTGATATCGTTGTTTACAAGATTGATGTTGATATTGGCTTGAAACAATTTCAAGAAGCTAAAGTTGCTGTATGAATTGATTAGGAGAATGAAATATTGCAAATGACCACTTATGCGCGCGCGACCAGTCAAGTACCAACAAGAATATATCAGGTACGAACAAGAACATATCACGCGTGAAGACGTAATTGTCAAGAGAAATCCGAAAAATATCAGGATTGATTATTTTTTGATCTAATGGCTATTAGATGAGGTATCAAATTTTAAATTTGATACTGACGTCAAAGGATCCTACCTATATATATATATATATATATATATATATATATATATATATATATATATGGCAAGATCTTTTTACACCGGTGTAAAACTAATAAGTCTTACACCGTATCTCAATCGTTGATGGACGGAAATCATCGATTGATATTTGTAGTGTAATTAATGATTAATTAATATTAATTAATTTGTATGACTTCCTAAATTATAACCGTTGGATGTATGAAAATCAACGGTTGAGATGCGGTGTAAGATTTATTAGTCTTAAATCGGTATAAAATGATCCTGATCCTATATTCAAAAGACTTTTTACCAGATGTTATGAACTCATATTTTTCAAATTCATTTACATTGAAATGATATATATCACATTCTCTTAATTTATTGTTCCGCAAATTACTTCAGTATTGGAAGCTGAAATTTGATGTCATTATAGAAGAGTATAGCAAATAAAATTACAAAACTTTTTAAAATGAGTTCAACATTTTTTTTGACAAGATGAAACAATTTTAGTTTTTGATTTTTAGACTTTATATATATATATATATATATATATATAAATATGTATATATATAAATGCATTAAGAGGGCGAACCGGAGCAGTGATAAAACTGTTCTTTCATGACTGAAAAGTCATGGATTCGAATCCAGGAAACAGCCTCTTTGTTATTATGCAAGGGTAAGGCTATATAAATGCATGACCCGACTAGATCTGATGCATAGTCGGTCCAGTCCGATAACCGGTTCGCCGTATTCCTGGTCGGGCCAAGTTTCACAACACTGTTTTATTCAACAAATTTAATTTGCAAACTATTTTTATTATACAATTACATCAAATTAGAGCATCAACATTTTTATTTGTAGTATTATTTATTATATTGATTTCTTTGCAAAGATTATATTTCAAGAAACAATGATCTCATCTATTGTGGAACATTTTGTAAGTAAACATCATCATGAAACAACGATCTCACTCACATGCTCCTCTAGCTTTTATGGCTTTTGCCGTCATAACTGTACATGAGAGGTACCATCCGAGCAGCATTAAGGCAAATTTTAGTAAAAGATTATGGTAATGGATTTGCTGGGCATGCGTTATTTGTTTACTCGTTTCCATGCATTTGAAATCTGACCATTGATATGCTCCCTTGTTTGTTCAATAGAAACTCCTTGGTGTTCCTTCATGTAGAAGTTGATCAGTGGAACCTGGGTTGATCACTCACTCACTAACAGCATTACCTGAATGCACATTTTTTCAACATTCAAGTCACGCGTGTATTGCATTAGCGGCTTGTGAAATTTGAGGGGTATCAGTCATTGGACTTAATCCGTGGTAGATTGGGAAAATGTTTCAGAAAGGTGGCATTTCGATAAAAGCTTTGCCAGAAACATCCTATTTTGGTGATTGTGGCGAAATTTGGCTGCGTAGTTCACATGGGGAAATAAGGACAAGTACTAAGAGTGGTTAAACAAGAAAGATTTCAACCTCTTGTCGTTTTTTTCTCCATCCATCGTCTGAGAAATGACACGTTATTTTCTTGAAAAGAAAGAAATGGCTCCTTGATATGATTTTTTTGAACATTAATATTCCTAAAAATGTTGATATAATAATTTAAAAATATATATTGTAAAATATCTCCTACTCTAGATGCTAGGTTAAGAATAAATGCATCAAGGATGTGAGTGGCTCCGTATAAAGATTGAGAAGGTGGCTTCCTGCAATATAGGAATGGCCTTTTTTCAAACACCAAATGCAAACACAATATACATCATTTATTCTCTTCACATTTAGAACCACATCTGAGAATTGTAACTTTATGAATAATCATGTATATATTCTCCAATATTTACTAGCAGAATAACGCAAACGTGCATGTAATGAAGAGAGCAACTTCTTGGGCACATTATAGTACACCTTCAACAAAAATTCAGAAATTAAACCAAGTTAAGAAAACTACCAGGTTGAACAAGCAAGGACTTCCCATACTGAAGTTGCAGTATTTACCTCACCATCACCCAGATGTTAATGAATTCAGCTTCTTTTCATACATTTTGGCACGTCGAAGAGCATCTAATGCTTCAGCTTGTTTTCCTGAACGTTTCAAATTAACCGCCTTTATTTTTTCTTCTTTGATTCTTTCTTCTAGCTGAACTCTCTCTTGGTTAGAGTTTTCAACTTTAGCATTGGGTATCACAACCTCTCGTCTTTCAGGGCCACTTGATACAACACTTATATCTTGAAGTCCAACTGCTTTCAGAGCAGATAAGAGTTGAGGATCAAGAAAATCTTCAACAGACACATCATCTACTGCATCTGACTTATTGGCATCATGAGTTGCAAACTCCTCCAACTGGGTTTCAATTGCCTTTGCCCGTTCAAACTCAGCTTCTGCTTCCTCTATTTGACCTTCCCGCCGAAGCTTTAAGGCTCGACGTTTGTGCCCAAGAGACTCTTGTTGCAACTTGAAACGATCACGACTGGTCAATGGTTTTGCATTAACATTTGATGATTCTTGTTTCTTTTGTACAACATTTGATAATTCCTGTTTCTTTTGTACAACATTTGATGCATTGGAAACATTGTTGGTAGAGGCAGTGTTTTGCTGCATACTTCCATCCTCCAAGCTCTTCTCCAATAGCTTCGCCTGTCGGAGTTCCTCCCTAGCTTCTGTTAGTTTCCCTTCTCTTTTCAAAGCAACTGCTTTCCTTTTATGAGCCAAAACTTCTTGACGCAAGGAAAGGTGGTGCTGAGAAGCATCATCCTGAACAGCATTTGACTCGCTTATGTTTGGCTTTTCATTTGCATCAGTCATGTCTCTTCTTTTTTGAGTTGTAACATTATTTTTGTATCCCTGGTCTTGGCTGAGATTCTCTGAGGAGTCCAAACGAATAGCAGGACCTGTTTGAGATGAATTAGCTGAACCAAGTTTGTATTCTTCTTTTTGTTTTTGAGGCAATATTTCTGAACTGCTACAACCATCACCAGTAAGTAAATCTAGCGTATGCATAGAGTGGCCAGCTGAAGAGCTATGGTCAATGGTTTTTCCTAATTTCATCTTTTTTGCAAGATTTTCACTTGAAGCACTCGCCTCAGCAGATAATGGATGCTTATCTTCAGCGAACTGAGAGGTTACAGGAATTAAATTATCTGACTTCCTAAAGAAAGGAACATTTGTTTCATTGTTGATTCTTTCTAAACCAATTGATAATTCAGTATCATTCTTACTTGACCCAACCACGGATGAGGCTGAAGCATTATCCACTTCAACAGCAACTCCCCTATTTCCATGTCTGTCCTGGAAGTCAGATGATTCAGACAGAACAGGTTTTTCATCCTTCGAAACATTATGTAACAAGTCCTTGTTCTGGCCCCCAAAATTTTCCATTTGGGCTTCCAAACTCTTGGCCATTCTTAAAATTTCCTCAGCCTCTTCTATTTCTCCCTTGCGCCTAAAAGCAAGTGCCTTCCTTTTCAATGCCAAGAGTTCTCTTTGAATCTCTCCCTTATTCCTTGAAGCTGTAGCAGGAATGCCTGAGGAGGAATCAAGTACAGACAGGTCCACAGGACGAGTAAACCTACTAGTTGCTTCCTTAACTGGCTCTTCTTTCATGGATACAGGTTCAAATTCATCATCCTTCCACCCAAGATTAGTAAGCATTGAATTCAATGCCGGGTCAAGCATATCTTCTTCTGAAACAACCACATCCCCTTCATCAACTGCAGTTTCAACTGGAGGATTGAAGAGTTTATCTTTCATCATAGTTGCCTCAACCCGTGATTCATTCTTTGGAGCTTCAATCTCTGCCATCTTGACTTCTAATGCTTTGGCCACTTTAATAACTTCCTCTGCATCCTCAGCTTTCCCTTCGCGCCTGAGAGCAAGGGCCTTTCTCTTTAATCCCAAGAGCTCCCTCTGAATTTCAACTTTACTTCTTCTTGGTGCTTCAACCAAAATATTTGTAGAATGCTTACTTGGTGAAGTATCATTCAATGGATCAAAATCATTATCATCTTTCTTCGAAGGCTTGTTCGAAGAATTAGGAAGTTCATTTTTGTCATCATTCCAACCCCAGTCCCTAAGGAGTGAAAGATATGTTGGATCAGACATATCTTGATTTGTTACATCAACTTCAGTCCCTTCCTCAAGTGGCAGATTTCTATTAATATCAGCATGCTTGTGTGCTGTATATGGGACATTATCAGCACTATTCTTCTGCGATGCTTTAAGATTCGAAGCCTTATCCATCTCCATGAGCTGATGCTCAAGAGCTGCACCCTTCCGCATTTCTTCTTCTGCTTCATCAATTTTCCCTTCCCTTCTTAATGTGAGAGCCTTCTTTTTCAAACTCAAAAGCTCTCTCTGTATCATCAATCGGCTTTTTGGTGCAACTCTCGAAGCAGCATTGTCAGTGGCAATAGTATTTCTCTCATCCAATTGAATGGATTCTGATCCATTAACAGCAACTTCAGATACAGCGCTGTTAGAGCCCCTTTCTAATAACTTTGCCTTTTTCAAGAATGCCATTGCTTCTTCAGTATTACCTGCTCGCTTTTGATTAAGAGCCTCTCTTTTTAAAGACTGAATTTCACTACGCAATGCTTCTCTGTCAGAGGTTTGAGACTTGGAAAATGTATTTTCAGGTTCAGTCCAACCTAAGGATTCCAAAGCAACAGCTAATTCAGGGTCCATCATATCCTCATCAGTCACTTCAAAATTACCACCAAGATCATCAGAAATGCTCAAAAGGTTATCAAAATCAAAAGCATGCTTATGATCATGAAGATCTGAAAATTCTTTATCATCATCCATGCCACGAATTAATGCTGATAGCTCATCATCAGAACCTTCAGCTTCAGCAAGAAGTTCCTCTTCTTCCAGTTGCTTTTCTAAAGTTTTAGCTCTTTTTAATTCCTCTTTGGCTTCTGCAAGCTTACCCTCACGCTTCAACATTAGAGCCCTTTTTTTCAGAGCAACAACCTGGGACTTGTCAATTCTGCTGCTCTTTTCTTCACCTGTCTTTACAAAGATTTCTCCAATCATTGAAGAGAGTTCACCCTCCAAACTCAAGTTTGCTGACTTTCTATCTTCATTATGCAGATCATGATCAGACCATCCCAGCTCTATAAGTTCAGAAGTAAGATCATCCTTTTCTTTACCCGTATGAGGAAGTGACTTTGTTTTTCTGCTAGACTCAACAGGACCAACTCTGTTATGCATATCAGACAAGTTTCCAGAAGGCAACACCTTCTTACGAGTCTTCCTTAAATGAATTTCCAAAGCATCAGCCTGCCTCTCAAGCTCCTTCCCTCTCTTAAAAGCTCTCAAGGCCTCCTCAGATTTCCCATCTCCTTTCAGAATTTTATATTTCTTTTTTTCCTCCAAAGCTTGCTGACGTAACTCATCAGGAGTGGTGACTCCCATATCAATACCCAAAATATTAGGCTTATCATTTGAGACAATTTTTTGTATGTCTCTATCATCATAATTGGAGAATCCCTGAGTGCTTGAAGAAGATGCAATGCTAACTGATCCTTGGCTGCTAGGAACTTTGTCACTGGTTGACTGCTTTCCCGATGAAAAGAGTTCCTCTCTATTTTGACCAAGGATCTGGTTCAAAACTTCATCTTCATCTCTAGGTGCTGATTTCAAGCTCCCTGGAGAAATTGAAATGAATATTCAAAAGTATGGAACTGTTAGTAATAAAGAAAGTAAGATGACGGAATGCTACTCTAATATAAAATAGCACCCGTTGAAAGCCATGATTTAAAAAGAACGAAAAAATGAAAAATACCTCTCCCAGCTCTGCGTCCCTGTCGCATCTCAAACCGTGCTGCCTCTTCTAGCTTCTTACAAGGTTCACATATACGCACAGGGGAATCACCTTGTCCACGCAAAACCATTCTTTGTTGGGTACAACTGTTGCAAAATATGCCCCCACACCTTCTACAGTGATGCTGAAATATAAAATAAAATTTCTAAAAATTAAATTCCGGACAAAGAATTCAGTTTGATTTTAATCAGATTCTTATAAGCAAACATGGAAGACCATCTTCCACTTTTCAGCATCTCATTTTTCACACAACCATAAAATTGACAAGCATATTATTCATTTTTTGTCACCAAAGATTCCATGAAGCTTCAAACTACAAGTTTGATAAAATAAAATAAAAAATAAAAAAATAAACTGATTCTCGCTATCTTATACAAGGAGTTATACCATCTTAGGGAAGTTACAGATGCAATATACAAGGAAGTAGAATCAAAACACTATCACACGGCATGGCCAACTGATTCTCGCTAAGTATACATTAGTGAGTAGGAAGCGAAATCTTGCACATACGCTAAAAAGAGGAAAATGAGCAGCAAATGAACTGCTCTTAGACATGGTTTCATAGAGCAAAGAGAATTTGTATAGTATTTGACTATAATTTTGACATCAGGAAAGAACTCATCTAATGCAAAGGCAATAAGTTAATATATAAGCTGCGATCAATTTAGCATCATTCTACTTCATACACAAACAATATCTCTAACAATTACTACAATTAGATGGAATTAACTAATCTGATTAAGAAAATCAATCAGCATAATCAAATTATCCCAAACAGATCCGTGAGATAGTGAAAGCTATTTTTGAATCACTTTTAACGAAAAAAAAAAAATGAATGTAAACTTAAAATGAAATTAATTACCGGTGCCATACCAAACTAAGATACAATAAATCATAAATACACACAAATACCAAAACTCTGAAGCCAAAAATCAACTAGCAAAACGACATCAGCAACAAATTTTTAATCTTGCATGAATAAAAGAGTGATTTTCTAAAATACCCATATAAAATCCAACATTCTAGAGAGAAAATAAATCATGGGTTTTCTCTCTAATTGCAAAAAGTTTCTATATTCATCCCTCCCCCCTTCAAATAAACAAGAGTGAACAACCGGAACATACATAACTTGAAACAGAACCCCATAAAAAATTAAAGGAAAAAAAAGAGTGGGAATCGAAAATGATTAATGATAATAGGGGAACCTTGCGATTGATGAAGGTAAACTGAGCGCAACAACCCTGGCAGTTTGAGGCATCAACCACCCAATTACTCCCTCGCATCGAAGGCTTTGGCGGCAACCCGATCTTCTCCAACATGTTGCTCCTTTTTTATTGTCTTCTTGAGATCAAAAAACCCAGAAATCAAAAAGAAAGCTTGAGATATTGTGTTTTCTCACAGGAAGAAAGTGATGAAATAGTAACGATTAACGAAGAAGAAGAAAAAGCGACGATGCTTGCTTGTGAAGACGATCCCTCAAAACGAGTACACAAGTGCGGTTCCAGCACGCTTTTCTTATTTATTTATGGGTTAAAAGTTTGGAATTAAATTATGTAATTTTAAAAGATAAAAGTTATAATTACTACCTTTTTATTTTACTACTTATTATTACTTAATCTTAACTGTTGATTTCTGTCAATCTAATGGTTATAATTTATTGGGTCACATTTATTAATTAATTATTAATTCTAATAAATTATAACCGTTAGATTGACAGAAATCAATGGTTAAGATTAAGTAGTAACAAGTAGTAAAGAAAAGGTACTAAGTATAACCTCTAACTTTTTGCTACAAGGAGGGAGAAAAAAAGTAAAATTTTAATATTAAAATATTTTAATATTTTAATTATGTACTATTCTTACTTCTTAGAACATAATTATAAATTATTAAAAGACAAAAATTGCATCATTTAAAAAGAGGAATCATTTTCTCTTTATTTATTTATGATCTTAGAAATAAGAATGTGTTTAGATCTTATTTTTAGTTATTATATTAATTTAGTAGTAGGATATTGTAACAACTAATTAATGTTAGTACTACCTTTTTATTTTACTACTTATTATTACTTAATCTTAACTGTTGATTTCTGTCAATCTAATGGTTATAATTTATTGGGTCACATTTATTAATTAATTATTAATTCTAATAAATTATAACCGTTAGATTGACAGAAATCAATGGTTAAGATTAAGTAGTAACAAGTAGTAAAGAAAAGGTACTAAGTATAACCTCTAACTTTTTGCTACAAGGAGGGAGAAAAAAGTAAAATTTTAATATTAAAATATTTTAATATTTTAATTATGTACTATTCTTACTTCTTAGAACATAATTATAAATTATTAAAAGACAAAAATTGCATCATTTAAAAAGAGGAATCATTTTCTCTTTATTTATTTATGATCTTAGAAATAAGAATGTGTTTAGATCTTATTTTTAGTTATTATATTAATTTAGTAGTAGGATATTGTAACAACTAATTAATGTTAGTATGAATCAATTTCACCGTTAGATCGATTATGTTGATCCAACGATTATATTTATTTTCATCTTTGTATGGTCATAATTCCCTATATTTAATGTGAAAGCATTAAATATGAAAAATTATAATCATATAAAGGTGAAAATAAATATAAAGTATTAAATATGGAGAACCATAACCATACAAAGATGGAAATAAATATAACTGTTGGACCAACATAATCGATCTAACGGTGAAATTGATTGATAGTAACATTGGTAGTAACACTAATTAATTATTATAATATCCTTCCCTATTAATTTAAAGATAAGTTCTATAAAGTAGGACTTGACTAAGGAGATTAAGATTTCTCCCTGAAGTTAATGTATTCAAAATAAAATATTGTTGGATGTAATGATATTCGTAATTTGAATTGAATCGATTTTGAAGTAAAAATTATTCGATCCAATTTTATTTTTTTTGGAGTTACCCAACCTTAATTATCTCTTTGAGACGAGTTGGCTCCCTCCGGTATCCCCACGAGCTTTGACTCTTTGAGCCGGCTACGGGACTAATCCGGAGTGCGGGGGAACAATGATGGCTAAAGGTTCAGCCCCCTCCCCAAGAATGCATTCAGCGGGAATCGAACACATATCCAACCCCACTAACTCAGCGCCAAGTTACCAACTGAGCTGCACCCATTGGGTATCGATCCAATTTTTTTGATCTGGTCATTTAATCATTCATTCGATTTGGATTTTTTTTAAATCCGATTCAATTTTATTCGGTTTGGATTGAATTGCTTTTTGATTTTTCGAAAAGCCTATAATTTTAGTGCTATAAATCACTAGTTATAGCAGAATAAAGTCATACAAAGTTACAAACTATTGGAAAATTCAAATTTTCAAACTAAGATAAATCTTAAAACTCACGAAGAGTTAAAATAGATTAATAGACAATAAAAAAATTAAAATAAAATAATTTGCTATCAATAAGATCTAAGTCTATAAACAATAAGATTTCAAGTTACCATTTTTCAGAAATAATAAATACATAATGCATTAGATCAGTTTTCACCCACCAAATCAAAAACTGATCGAATCCAATTAAAATATGTGAGTTTTTTTAAGTTAATTCAGTTATTGAATCGGTTGATGAACACCCTTAGTTGGATGTCAATAATAATGTCATATTTTATTTTGCTTGCCGATATAATGTATCGTTCATTTTTTTTTTAAAGTTATATTTTACTACTATTTAAATCTAATAATTATAATAAAATATGTCTTGCCTCTGCAACAATAAAGTTTTTTAATTGTTTTACATTAATTATTTAAGGGTTTTATACTTCTCATATAACACGAAGAGAAATTTTTTTACACACCCTTCGATTTTCATATTGACATGGGTCCCACACATGACTTTTTCTAACATATGAGTCTTACATAACTTTTATCTCTACGGCATAAAAAAACTTATCTCATGTAATATAGGAAGTATAAAACCTATTATTTAATAGGAGATATTGCATAATTGGTTGATGGGGTTAACTTTTCTTATATTACGGCTGATAAAATTCATTTCCTCCCGACAAAGATTTAGGTGGGGTCAACCATTTAAAAAAAAATTGGCATATTTCTCTATGAGTGCAGGAAAGAGAAATTATCTTATGTTGCATAAGAATCGTATTACCCTTCATTGATAGCATTCCCCAACTTCTCTTTTTACTATATCAGAGATTTTTTACAGTAACCAATTAACACTATGTCTTACTAATAAGACATAGTTATTATATTAAAGTTATTTTTTCTGTCTCTGCCATGTCAGACGACATACCTTATGATGAGAGAGAAAAAATAGCTTTTGAAATTACAACTATGTCTTACCAGTAAGACATACTGTTAATTGGTTGTTGCAAAAATTCTCTTATCCCATGAAAGGATAAGTACATTTCCTTAAAACTTTTTGAGGTTTGCATTCATCATGCAATATAACCAGAAAAAGTTTCCTACACACACAACATTTTATGGGGCCCGCATTTTTTGAAGCAAAAAGAAAAAAGAAAACTACAGCACGCAAAACGAATCTCTATAACATAACATAATCACTATTCCTACAACATAACTTTATGTAAAACCCAAACTTTTTAGGGAAAAACAAGTATTATGTTGTAGAAAATTCTTAGGTCATATCATAGAGACAATCAATTGTGAGGGCCACTATTTTTAAAATAAAAGAAAAGTAAAAGAATTGATGGGCCCACTTTTTTGTGTCTGTAGGAAAATTGGTTGTGTCATGTGAAAGGAGAAAAACATTACCCAACTTTTTATATATAAAAGACTTTTACATAAATGTTACAAATTTTACATAATAACTTTTTATAGCTTTTCTTTTGAATACTTTTATATACTTTTAAAGGACAGAATATACTTACTACAAATTAAATTTATTATTTTCGACCATCAAATTTTGACCGTTGATTTCTGTAAATCTGACAGTTATAATTTATTGAGAATTAATAATTAATCAATAAGTGTCTTCCAATAAATTATAACCGTCAGATTAATGGAAATCAACTGTTAAAATTTGATGGTAAGACAGTGGCGGATCCAGAAAATTTTATTTGTGTATGCACATTTTGTAGCGCTGCATTTTTTTAATTTTTAAATACATTAAAAAATAAAAAAATATGAACAATAAAAGAAAAGAAAACTTCAACTTATCAAAAATTACTTGAAATTATAATAGCTTAGTTGACTCTTGATTATTATTTCTTGATAAGTATCTGGTTATCAATATATATATTCCTGATGAAGCTTCTGGTTTATCAATATCAGCAGCATCAAGAACCCTGAGGGCACCCCACACCTGTTAATTAGATAAGCATTTGTTCTCTGTACCCGCACATTTGTACATCATTTCGCAAAAAAAATTTCCCCCCAAGAACTTGTGTCTGCAAATGCCCACACTTGTAATAGTGTGGGTTCGCCGATGTGGTAAGAAGTGATAAACTTAATTGGTGGTAAAAAAATCTCTCCCATTAAATGTAAAACTAATTTCTTTTGGAACAAGACATACCATTAAGCTCTTATTGTAAATAATATTTTTATAGTTTGAAAAATATGGATTTAATGTTCGAATTACAAGTTGATAAAATTACCTCCCATATGAGTGGAGTTGGCGAAACTCTATGGAAGAGGGAGAAAAAAAATCACTAAAAAATAATTTTATCTCCAATAAACCGTTTTAGTATTTATCCTCAAATAAGAGCATAATTCTGGAACAGTGACCATTTTGTCACGTTTGGACAAAAAAATTACGAGACTGCCACGCCAACAGTAAATTTTGCCAAAATGCCACGCGGCATAATTCGCTACACAGTGTAGCAAAATATGCCACGTCAGGACCAAAAATGCCACATGTCAAATTTTGAGAAATCCGCTACCCTATGTAGCGAATTTATCAAAATTTGACATGTCGCGTTTTTGGTTCTGTGCATTCTGACGTGGCATATTTCGCTACACTGTGTAGCGAATTACTTGCATGCATAATCCGCTACACTGTGTAGCGAATTATGCCGCGTGGCATTTTGACAAAATTTACTGTTGGTGGGGCAGTCTGGTAATTTTTTTTTGGTCATTGTCCCCATAATTCTCTAACAACACTTTTGTACATCTCAAATTATTTTTAGACTAGATGTTCAGCATCATTCATGTAGCCCGTAAATGCATTTTCAATCTCTTTTTCAATGGTAGTTCATATATATATATATATATATATATATATATATAGGTAAAATCATTTATTCAGCCGCTTTACGTACAGCAATGATAGATGTATGGTTTTGATTCTCCATATTTAATACCTTCACATATATATATGGCAAGTATTTAATTGCTGCACGTACAACAACTGCAGAAATGTAAACCCCATATATATATATATATTCGTTTCTCAAGTTGCTTGAGATAACTTTATCTCTGGCTACTAAATCATAACCGTACAAAGATAGATCAAAGGTGATAAAGGAAGAGAGAGAAAATAGAATCATAATCATTCAAAGATGAATCAATTAATATAAGGAAATAAATAAATAAAATGACGTAATTTTGAATGAATGAAAATAAATATATCTCAAGTTGCTTAAGAAATATATATGGGGATGGATCATTTGACTATAGAGTAAGATTTAAAAATGTTACTCTTCATCTTAGCTATTGATTTTCGTTCATCTAACGGTTATCATTTATTTGAAATTAATAATTAATTAATTGTTATAACTTATTAAATTATAACCGTTAGATGAACAGAAATCAACGGCTGGGATGAGGAGTAAGACTTTTAAGTCTTACTCTGGAGTCAAAAGATCCCTCCCCAATATATATATATATATTGGGGCAGGATATTCTTACACTGGTGTAAGAGTTAGAAGTCTTACACTCAATCTTGATCATTGATCCACTTATATCCAATGGCTCACATTATTAAAAAATTTGATCCCTTAGATATAAGTGAAATTAACGGACAAGATCAAGAGTGTAACTTGCACTGGTGTAAAATGATCCTGACTCATATATATATATAGGGAAAGATTATATTTACAAACTTTTTATTTACAAACTTTTACAAACTACACTAAGTATGACCGGTCATACTTAGTGTAATTTGTAAAAAAAAAAATTTGTAAACGGATCTTCACACACACACACACACATATATATATATGATAGGTTATTCTACCTACCATTTTTTCTATTTTTTTCTGCCTACCTTTGTCTACCACCCTTCAATACCGCTAGATCAGAATATCGATAGGAGAGAGAAACGAAAAATGTAGTGGGATTCTGATCTAACGGTGTTGAAAGGTGGTAGACAAAGGTAGGCAGAAAAAACATGATAGATAGAATAACCTATATATATAGGGAAAAATATTTCTCCGGCAACTTGAGATAAGTTTATCTCCGACCATCCCAAAACTACATCGTTTTGTTTATTTATTTTCCTTATATTAATTGATTCACCTTTGAATGATTATGATTCTCTTTTTCTCTCTCTTCCTTCATTATCATTGATCTATCTTTGTACGGTTATGATTTAGTAGCCGGAGATAAAATTATCTTAAACAAGAAATGATAAGCCCATATATATATATATATATATATATATATATATATATATATATATATAATAATAATAATAATAATAATAATAATTCAACTAAATGGTTCAACCCAACACTTAAAAAAAAAAAAACTTTGCCAAATCACTTTAGTTGTCCTCTGTGGCTTTGACAACATTGGCCATAAGCGTAATTTGTAGTGGTACCTTTCTGTCTATCACGTCCCAAGTTACTTATCTCCATGATTAAATTGGAAAGCACCCTTATTGGTTTTTTAATTTTTTTTGTGCTGAAATAATTGGAAAATACATCCACTAATAGGTTACAGAAACATTATTATAGAGAATATCCATCAAACCTTCAAAGAAAACTAATCACAGAATTTGAAATTCGTGACATCAAGCACACAAAAATTATTACTAACAAAAATTACTGCTTGTGTTTATATTATAGTCTAACGCAGATAAACTAGTAATAAGTTAGAGCACTAAAAACATGTTCTGAAATTTGAAATCCGTAATCATGATCCATAAACTATAGATTTTGTGGATAGCTGCAAGAAGAGGACGACAAAAAAATTAATTTAATGCTTTTTAATAAAATAATTATGTATTTATTACAGTTTTTAATAAAATAATAATGAGATATCATTGCATAGATCTCAAAAAGTTACGTAGAATCAAAAAAAAAATTACCTAATTTGAATACTCGAGTCAAAAATTATGGTCTTCAGAAGTTTTATGATTAAATTAATTTTTTTTTTGGAAAAAAAATATGACATCTTACGGTGAAACGCCTCAATGGGGCGTCTGACGCCCAAAAAGGACATCACATTGTGCAATAAATTCGTAATTATTCTCAAAACTGTAATAAAAGCGTAATTATTTTATTAAAAAGCATTAAATTAATTTTTTTTGCCAGAAGAGGACACTAAAACTAATAATTTTATCCTATAAATCATGCTACAATGACCTCGTTGGGCAACAGCTCTTTCTCCTCCTTCTCCATAAAGACCAAAAAAAGTGTTTTGGTAGCAAATGATATGGGGCAAGAAAAACAAACAAAACATGGTGAATGTAATATACTGCACTGTAACTCGGCAACCTATTTAAGGTTCCTAGTTCTCACCCATGTTTATGAATGAGGAGAATATAATGAAAGATACATCCACTCAATGAAAGTGCACTGCAATTCCACAGTATGCATGAAACCAATGCTGTCTCCAAGAAGCAGGTCTCTAATGAACCCCAAATTTCCACCAATATCATCAAGAATCAATAACCATTGATCTGAGGCCTTGGTGTAGGACCAACAAGCCGTGAAAAAGGCATTTGTGTCCGGCCAGTGTTCAGACCCCTTTGACCTGAAAACCTATCATTTACTTTTGGTTCTGATACAGATTTGGAGAATGCTTGTGCAAGTTCAACTGCTGAAGCTGCTCTACCATAGCGTGTGCCTACAGCATCCACAGATGATTTTGGCTGCTCCACAGGCTTACGCCATGTCTCAGGTGAAGTTTGCCTCTCAGAGACCACCTGCTGCCTATCAATCTCCCTCACGTTTCTCCTATTATCACCACCGCGCCAATTCCTCCTCTGTGCATGAACTCTCTCAGCATCTACCCTTTGCTCCTTCCTTTCAGGTTTTCTACCTGCCCTTTGATCAAGAAGAGCATCCTCAGTTTTTTCACCATGTCGAGGCTGGATTGAATGATCAGGAAGTTTCTCGACCCTTGAAATATTATGTTCAACCCTTCAAACAGCAAATAATTCATTGGCAAGCATTGTATCAGACTTGGGTCACCATTGGAGGCAACTGGGATCACATACAAATAAACAAAGCAAAGTCCTTACTTATTTGAATGCTCAACCACATCATAATTGTTGATTGCAACATCATCAATCCCTCGCTCCTTCAATACCTGAGGGAAATAATCAGAAACATTAACAAGCTGAAAATATGAAGGCTTATTGCCAAAGCACAGAGAGAAGGATAACTGGAATTCAGGATAACAAATAAATGAAAGAACTTACTAGTTCTCGAGGGCGAGCTCCACCAAATAAAGCATTCCTGAAACATTTGCATTTCTTCCATTATCAAACATGAAGCTATGAATAACTAACCAAAAAAACAAGCTAAGAGTAGCCCATGCAATTTCATACTAAGCATTGATCAAAGACTCAAGACGAAATTAAGATATTACAAAGTTCAACATAATAATAACTTCATATGCACTTTGCTTTTAACAAAAGCAGGAGTAAGAACCCTTCAAATTGGGAGGTCAGGAACACAGTCAAAAATGATTCGAGAATCCCAAGGGATGCTAATTTGTTAGATGTCCAGATAAGTGAAGTGGGCTATGACTGAGAAACTGCTGGATTCAATATAAGAGTAATGCTTGATCTCATGTTACAAACATTAAACTCCCAAATATCACAAGTGCCACAGCACTGGATGGAAAATGGAAAATAAGTTACTTCTCCATGTTATGAGGCTCACTAACAACCATATTCATAACGACAATTCACAATAGTAAACATGACGCACTGCTCATATGACACAAAAAAAGCAAATATCAAACAATTAATTTTAGAGTAAAATTTATTTGTATCCTGTTTAATAGAGAATGACACTAATTAGTTGTTTTTCAATTTGTTGGAATTGTTACTGCGAATTCTAATTCTAAAAGGCATTATAAATATGAATTTAAGATCCCAATTCAAATTCCAGGCACTAAGCCTTCTCTTCCTGAACAAATTTTACAATGTACTAATTATTACATTTGACTATTTGAGAGCCATGAACACAAAAACGTAGAACTATCACTACTTATAATATATCTTCATATTTTAGATGCATAAATGTAATTCTATGGTTTCTTTTTCAGATTTTGTTTAATAAAAAAATTAAATTTATTAAAATAAAAGGTACACTCTATAAGCAAGGAACAGAGAGGGAGATAGAAAGTGTTAGAGAATAATATAAACTATTAAAAAGGCTCTCATCCAACAGCTTAAGCTTTTGGATTGAAATGGTTTTCTAGATGGTATAAGAATTTCAGTGACCACGAGGTCACAAGTTCGATCCTCGTCGCCCCCCACTTTCTAGTGGAATTAAGTAAGCACAAGGTAAACCAAAAATTGGGCCTGTGCAATATTCATGCTTCAAGCCCAAAGGGCTCTTGCATGAGAAAGTGTGTTAGAGAATAATATAAATAATAAACCATTAAAAAGTCCTCACTAACAACTTAAGCTTTTGGGTTGAAATGGTTCTTTAGAGAAAGAGATCGAGGAAATTGGATGAGGCCCATTGATGAGAGAGTTAATTAATGAGCTGATAAATTTGAAAAAAGCAGAGATAAACTCTTTTGATCATAAACAGGGCAGTGCTTACTATCCTCCTTCCTGGGGCGTGGATGCTAGCATCCTCCACCTTTTTGACTGGATACAAAAACCATTCTACTATTCCTTAAAGTAAATAAATCTAGTAGGCTTGTAAGGCACTTTGCTAGGGTCAAGACTCAAGTAACAAATCTAATAGTCTTTTAAAACTTATAACCACTTTTCCTCCTTTGTCTCACCTTCCTACTTCTCCCCATCATCCTTAAAATTTAGTGAGCACAAAGCTATTCCTTCAATCTATAGACTTTGAAATTAACAAAATTCAGTGAAACTTATTAGATTTTTCATAATTCCAATTTAATGGACAACAAGAATGAGGAAGTTAGCATTCCTCACAAACACACACACAAGGGTCTTGAAATGCTCATAATCCCCTGTTTTGTTATTTTAATTAAAATTATATAACTGATTTAGAAATTAAAACAAGTTCTGTATTATGTAATTTAGGAGTATGTGCATGAGTGTGTGAACCTGTGTGGTAAGTGTTGGGATCACATCTTCCTCATTCCTTCTTGATCATTCCAGACAGAAAATATTGGAATTGTAGTAAAGGAGAATCTCCTTTCTCATAAAGAACACATGCAACCTCTTACTCGCGTGACACAAGTATTCTTTGTTCTGTCTAAGACAACCTAAATCCCTAAACTATCAGTTATTTGTGGCTTGTATTTAGTTTTTGACTTAACCTGACACGTCACCTGACCTGGAAAACCTACTATGTATCTTCCAAATTAAGTAGTTACATCAACACATAATATCGTTTACTGTGCACATTGGGAGTATTAGGATTAGGGTTTTAGTGATGAGCAGTCACTTTCTGTAATGTTCACTAATCATAGTACATCTTTTGCCTGTCAAAGTAGGCCTACAGCCACAATTCACTACAGGTTGAACCAACTGGAAATGTTTCACAGACAACAAGTAAACAAATCCGCCGCAAAATAGATATATAGCACAGTTAAAAAATGCCCAACTCGCTGTCTCGCATAACTAACCTCTCTCTTTCAGTGTTTCCTTCCAACTGCTCAAGGGGCTGAGACCGAGGCTTCAAATTCAGCTTCGGGCGCTGTCCTAAATCCTTCCCGCTCTCAGTTCCAGCTGAGACAGGCTTCACAAAATTGGAATGGCCATGCACCTAAAAAACAGTCCAGAATCATTAGCCTGACAACATCCCGACCATGGGGCAAATAAGGGAATTCATAGAGCGAATATAAGAATGAATAAAAGCAGAACCATCAATCCCTACATTTAAAAAAGAAAATGAAAATAAAAAACTCCTAAGGAGGGAATATCAAAAGTTGAATGTGTGAATACCTGTGCATATTCCATAACAGAAGGTTCTGAACTTTCCAGTGGCTTTTCCCTTGGAAGCAACTTCAGTTTAGGTCGCTCGGTTGGTTCAGAAGGCATAGGGGGCTGCAATTCGGACCCAACAAGCTTGCCATCATTTCGAGCCAGCTGAACCCCATCTGAGTGATAAGGCACACTTCTTGGTCGTACTTCTGAATACTTGGGAATCCCAGACCTTTCATAATCCAGTAACTCATTCCTACCACCTTGCATCTGGTTATCAATACCCAAACCCCTTTCAGCATGTCTTGCTAGCATTGCATCATAATCTTCCTTTTCATTCACTGTATCCATCCTATTGTAAGCACTATTGCCATTAACATTGGCACTTGGTCTACTCTCCACTTTAGAAGATCTAACCACCTCGGCATCTGTCTGATATTGGACAGCCTTTGACTGCCATCTACCAGAAGAAACCTTCTCAAGAGCACTTGCATGAGCCAACTTTGAAACAGCATTAGCACCAGACCAAGCAGATTGCTCTGGCTCAGCAGCACTTGTCACCTCCTTCCTCATTGACCATACATTTGGATAACCACCACCCCCACTACCACCAGCAGTTCCTTGCTCCTTACTACCTCCTAAACTCTGAGAATTCATCCCCACATGAACCGTCTCGGTAATCCTCACCGAGTATGAATTAACCGCTCCAACAGGAGTCTGAGACACCGGAGCCACTTGCCTGCCCAATGAACTCCCTCCCAATCCATACTCAGGCTTCACCTCAACACGAGAGGGCGGAGCACGAATGCTCTCATCACTAATTGTTCTCCTTGGGACCGAAATACCATCAAGAGGCTTTCTCTCATCCTCATCAAAATTCCTGCCAATTGGGGCAGTGTGTGAGAGAAACGGGCTTTTATCGTCATAATGCCTAGTTGCCGGCGATGTGTGCGGCCGAGACCAATGATCAGACCGGCTCATAGGGGATCCCCATGCTGAAGGTCGATCATAACCAGAACGATCGGAGGTCCTCACAGTTCTATGGAAAAACCAAAAATAAATCAGGTAAAAAAATATTACAAGAGATTTTATAAACAGATCTATCAATGAAAAAGAAAATCATCACACCAAAAGAAAAAACAAACAAACAAACAAACAAATCATGCACAACTAGAAGCCATAGATCTAATTTCTCTCTCAAATACCTAATTTTTTATTTTATTTTTTACAACCACAGCATTAACTGAGGTGCCCATTAGCGAATAATCGAATACAAATCAAACTAAAACGAAAAGATTAGAAATTTAAATCGTAAGATTAAAAGTAGGGAAAGAGCAATAAAGGGGTGGTACTTACATGCCGGGAGCAGAAGGGAGAGGGAGATCAGAGGGTATAGAACCACCATGGAAATCCTTGAGCGTCATGGTGTTACCACTAACTTTCTTCTTCGACATTCTCCCCCTTCTCCCTCACACCCTCTTCTTCACAAAAAAAAAAAAAAAGTCAAAAAAAAAAGGCTATCCCAGAGCCTAAATTTCAAGCTCGCGGTTGATGTTGTTGTTGTTGTTGGTTCAGGAATCTGTGAAGCGAAGGGAGAGAAAAGAAGAGGGAAGAGTGAGGAGGGAAACCCCACGAGTGGGAATGGATATAGGTAGAAGGAACGAAGAAGAACAGGAACAGGATTGGTAACAGATTTGGGTTTGTGTGCGGAAAAAGGAAGGTGAGTGAAGAGGATGTGTGAGTAGTGTTTGGGAATATGACGATTGTGAATGATATTTGATAATCGTGTGAAATGTTTTTATTTTATTTTAGAGAGTGATTATAATTATTAACTTCTTCTTTTTTTATTACTTCTTATTATTAAATCTTAACCGTTGATTTCCGTTAATATAACGGTTATAATTGATTGAAAATTAATAATTAATTAATAAAAATAATCTAATAAATTATAACCGTTATATTAATGAAAATCAATAGTTAAAATTTAGTAGTAAGAAAAGAAGATAAGTATAATTTTTGCCTTTATTTTATTTAAGATTGTTGTTGTGCTTACGGTTTATTATGATTGCCCATAGGATGTTGCCACGTCAAGGGATACAACTTTATGACCGTAGGATATAAATGAAGATCCTAGTTTGTGTATAACTCTTTATAAGGACTCGTGGCGGCTTAGTATTGCTATTGCTATATTTGTCAACATGGATTTGGATTTGGGCCATCCTTGTCTCATACCTCAGATTGGTTTCACCCATATGCAGCATTTTATTTTATTTTTTCTAAATTAAATTGTGGGTTATATTTCACCCTCCAATCTTTGATTAACGTTGTTATTTCTAGTTGAGTTTACATATATTTCTAGAAGATAAAAGTATTTCTTCGTTACTGGAGATATTATTTTCATTAAACTCAAAATGATATTATTTTGAGATTTTAAAATTAAAAAAATATAATGATAAAGATTAATATAATCCTTTAATATATTAAAATTATAAAAACACTTTAATTTTCACCCAAAACGACGTCGTTTTTAACTAACCAAAAATAATTTATCTTCATTGATCGAAGAAATCCTTTACCCAGAATTTGAAATGTGTTTAAAACATTTTGGTTTGGCAACGGTGTCTTGGTAAAATAAGGTTATCCAAAAATTAGCCTTATCATGCAAGAGAAAACTAACTGTGTTATAATCATCTTTTGCAAAATAATAATAATAATAACAATAATATAATAAAAAATAAAAATGTTATAATAATAGTCTATATTAAAAATGGGATTTTGATCCCTGATGTTAGGTAAAAATATGGTTGTACATGGGTCAGGTCGGGTCAGGTTTTCGTGCCGACTTGACTTAACTTGATTTTTGTAGATCAGGTATTTTGACTCAACCCGCTTTAATTTGATCCAAGTCAGATATGACTTGATTTGGATTTTTGTGAACTAGTTCAGAACCGGGTCGGATCTGACCTGACTTGGTTTTTGAAGTGGGTAAAATTTGACCTGACCCGTTTTTGACTTGGTTTCGTTACAAAATTTCGTCGAAATTTCTACGTTGCAAACGACAAAAATTTTGTCACAAAATTATTTGTTGGAATATTTTTTGTCGAAAAGCGACGGAATTTTTTCTCTAATGAAAATTTTTACAAAAATAAATTTTCTATCGAAATTTAGTTTCCGTCAAAAGTTTTGACGAAAATGATTTCCTTCATCAAATATTTTAAACGAAAAAAAATTCAGTCAAAAATTTTGACTGAAAGTTTTTCGTTCAAAATTTCGACGAAAATTGTTTTGAGAGAAATGTTCCATTCGAAACTTTCGACGAAATTTAGATTCTCTAAAGAATTTTTCACATAATATTTTTCCGTCAAAATTTTTTATCGAAACATTTTTTGTCAACGAAATTTTTTGACAGAAATGTGTTCTGTTGAAAATTTTGATGAAAATATTTTTTATCAAAAAAGTTGACGAAAATATTTAGTCGCAAATTTTCTAAGGAAATGTGTTTCCCTAAAAATTTCGACGAAATTTTTTTTTTGTCAAACAATTTACCGAAAATATTTCCGTCGAAAATTTTCGCCAAAATTTGAATTCTGTAAAGAATTTTGATGAAATTTTTTTCCGTCAAAAAATTTCTATGGAAATGTGTTTCGTCGAAATTTTTGATGAATATATTTTTTTGTGAAATATTTTGACGAAATTTAAATTCTGTAAAAAATTTTGACAAAAATATTTTTCCGTCAAATTTTTTTACAGAAATGTTTTTAGTCACAAATTTTTATGAAAATATTTTTCGTCAAAAATTTTTGTGAAAATTTTTTATGAAAATATTTTTCGTAAAAAATTTTGACGTAATTGTTTTACGTTAAAACTTTCTTTTAATATAATTGTGATTTTCTTTTTCTTTTTTTTCACATAATGGGTATGGGTCAACTTTTGGATCAATGAGTCATTTTTAAAACAAGTCAGGTCTAAAATTAACCCAAATAAAATTGGGTCAGTATTTAAACCAGTTCAAAAAAAAATAGGTATTTATGGGTCAGGTCAAGGTCAGGACAAGTGAACCAGTTTTTCTGCACACCCCTAAGGGGCGTTTGGTTGAGGAGAAATTTTATGAATAATAGGAAAATATTATTGATAGGGAAATGGTTCGGAAGTGAGATTGATAGGAAAATGTAAAAAAAAAGTTGTTTGGTTGGAAAAAAATATTACTGGAAAAATTAGGTAACGTTTATAAAATCTATGTTTGGCCGTAGATAAAATATAGATGGAAAAAACAGATGAGATTACAAAAATACCCATGTTTTAATTTTTTTTTAAACAAACATCCTTCCCTTTCTTTCTTGGTGCCAGTGCTGCTCACCTCCATGTAACCCTGCTGCTCATTCATCTTCTTTCCTTTCTTTCTTCTCTCGCTCCAAATGAAAGATTAACTATCAAGAATTGGAAAATTCGTAAGGGGGGGTTTCTTCTTTCTCACTCGTCACTAGTTAGTAGTTAGTTACCATCGCGACGGGTTATTTTCTTCTTTCTTGCGCAAGAGTTGCTTTTCTACAGGGCTTCAGACCAGAAACAGGAACCTTGGAAACACTACCTTGCATGACCATCTCCGTTTTCCTCTGTGCAAGTCTTTGGAAAATGGAAAGTGACAACTAACAACTTTACATCATAGCTTGTGTACGAGTCGCACGCTCAATTTGGAGGGCACGCTGGTCATCTCTTTTTTGCAGTGTTACGATTTATGTGGATAACTGAAGATACCACCTTTCCATTGGGATTATTTGGCCAGCTATTTCAATGAAAAAGATAGGCAACTTGGAAAGCTGGCACTTACATTTAGGTAGAGAAAATTGTGAAATCATTGAACCAAATAAGGAGAACACTGAATCCCACCTTCTCCATTTGCCTATGTATCTGATATAAATCCTCCAACCAAACGCCCCCTAAGTAAAAAGAATAGGAATGTTGTTGGATGTAAATATTTCAAAACTTCCACGTTTATTTTATAGAATATATAAATAAACTAATAAAATAAAAGAATTAGATGTTTGAAATCACATATAATTTTATTTTCAAATAGAGTTGTCCGTTATATTAGAGGAAATAATATGATTTTTTATGTATCATTTACGAAAAAGATCATAAGAAAGTGGACCTTATCATACATCGTTGAGTCTGATCCAAGTTAATTATGATTTTCGGGATCGAGGGCTATTATGTAGAATGACATCTCAGCATGAAGTTTGGATGCCGCTAGTAATTGACCTGACTATAACATGCAAGACACCCCAGCTTAATTAATATGAAGAAGATAAATATATCTCGCTCTTATCGTCTTTATTCGTAATGAACCTCCTTTGTGTGGTGATTTAGTTGATATATAAACTTTTGGGTGGCCTTCATAGCTTATAGATCTACGTGATATGCCTTTTGATGAGCTATGTTACTAAGGCTTAATTGAAAACTTGTCTTCATCATCTAGTCATTAGCAGGAGTAGATGGTCATAAGGTCTAAGTTGCTGAGTGATTCGCGAAATGGTAGATATGCACATCCTACGCGTTTCATACTAGTTAAGGTTTGATTTGGATTTGATGAGCATGATCCTTAATGGATTCTTGCCCTATTTGAATGGGTTTCGTTGATCCATATTTCTAGTCTAGATCATTTATTAAATAATTTTTATTTCAAGTTTTGAGTGTGACATAAAAACATTAGTTAAAGGGTATGTCGCATTTCCCATCAAATAAATGTTTTATTTTTCATTTAAATACTTTTGATTTTGGCTTTTAATTTTAGCCCACACAGGAAAACTATCCTTATTTTTCATTTTATTTATTTATTTATTTGATAGAATACTGTGTTAGAGAGTAAAGAAGTGAAAGTGAGAGGGAAAATGTGGAACAAGATGAAACGAAAGAACTGATTCAATGATTGATCTTATTGTAGAATAATAAATTGCTCACCTAATTTTAGATAAAAATTAATGGTTAAATAGAACTTTTTCAAAGTGATCTTTGCGGCTGCTATAAACTGATTGTTATTAAATTCAATCTAGACTGATCTTATTTTTGACCAACAAACCAACTAAGTAATTGGTCCAAGTTTTAACTCAATGGAGTATGCATACAAATGGATAAATATTAGTGTGTGTGATCTTTTAGAGTTTTAAAAACTCTCCCAGCCAATTTTAATTAATCTGGCTGCTTAATTGAAAAAAAAAAAAAAAAACCGGTGTGCTAGTTGAATTTTTTTTTACTAAGGCAGAATGGTTCTCACTAGAGATGTGCATGGATCGAACCAAACCGGATTTTTTGAAAAACTTAACCGAATTGATTTAAATTGTTCAATTCTGAACTGGTTCGGTTCAGTTCGAAACTGGTTCGGTTCAGTTCGAAACTGGTTTGGTTCGGTTCGAAACCCGTTCGGAACTGGTTCAGGTCGACCCTCTTTTGAAAAGAAAAAAATTAAAAAATAAAATTATAAAAATCAATTTGGTTCGATTTGAAAACGGTTCGGAAACGGTTCGGTTCAAAATGGTTTGATTTATGAACTGGTTCTTTAAAACCCGGTTCGGTTGATGAACTGGTTTCTAAAAATCGATTATTTTAAGGGGCGGTTCGGTTCGATTCATGATTCGATTCAATTTTTTAATTATTTTACACATCCCTAGTTCTCACCCATTTACAATTATCACACAAGCAGATATTTTTGAAAAATAAATTAAAGTAACTTTGTTTTAAAGTAAATAATTAAAAACATATTTATCTTTAAATTTTTTAAAGCTAGCATTACATTCACTCGAAATTAAATTAAATATTAATATTTCCTGATGAATTCAATTTAACGGGGAAATCAATTTAGAACAGCTTTGCCGCGCATGTAGAAGCAGTTTCTTTTATAGACAAAGCACTTTGTTGTGCTCATCAATTTACTCGATGTAGAGCTTTGTTCAATATAAGGCAAGACAATGTTTGGCTTGGGCTCTTAAGTCTTCGTCGACAAAATAACCTGAGAAGGATTTTTTTTTTTTTTAAGATATTAATCAGTATTAGAACAGTGACTACTTCTTCGATTTTGAGTTTGTGCCTCTATTTTTTTTAAAAAAAATTACGACTTTTGGACTGATCATATCCTAATGTCTAATTATTACTACAGCAACAACTCTTGAGTTAACGTGAGGAGGATTCTTTAATTATTCATAAGATTAATAATCCATCCCTTTTGAGTACTTCTTGTTATTGTCAATTATATTATGTCTTTAGGACTAAAAGTGTGTTAAATAATGTAAAATATGGTCAAACACATGATAAATATTGTTAAATGCAAAAGACTTGTCTAGTTTTCATACTTGGTAAGATACTGACTAAAAATGTATCAATTTCAGGTTAAATTTGTTATATCAGAGCATTGATAGATCAAAGAAGCCAAAGAAAGTCAAGACTCAAGCCAAATGGAAGTTAGAGAGTATTATTTCACGTTGTATCTCGCTGAGTTGCTTGCTACAACGAGTAAACTCAGCAAGTAAACCATGAAGAATGCTGATTATATAAGTCTCCTATCGAGCAAGCCAACGAGCAGGACGTTATTTTCAGTATTCATCTCGTTGAGTTGCTTGTTTCAGCGAGAAACCTAGCGAGCAATGTCGTAAAAAAAAGTCCATGGATCTTTTTACAAAAATACAACAAATTAGAGCAAGATGATTCATTGATTCTGCGACTTGAGGAGAAGGATAACATTATTCTTAGAGGAGAAGGCAAAGGATCGATCAAAGCTTCACAGTGGAGATCAACGACTGAGTTTTCTTTATGAATTTCTCTTTCCTTTTATCTATGTCAGGTTAGGTTTCTTTGTAGTTAGGGTTAGATGGAATCAATGGATTCCTAATGTTATTTACTCTTTTATTGTAATTTGATATTCAATCTTTATGTTATGTAAATAATTTGTTCTTCATTCTTACTTTAATTTATGATCTGGCCAATCTTAGATGCATGACAATAAGGATGTTGGTGTTAAACTCTAATTTGATTAATTGCTAGGTTTGTTTGATTTAGAGATAGACTTATGGAATCTATGACTTGGAATCTATGACTGTTTGATTCTTTGTTCTTAATGTCTGCCCTAGGCGAGATCACTAAGGGATTAGGGTTCTTAATTGGGTAAAGAATTGAAACACCAAGAGATTGGGTGTTAATTAATCTTTGAAGAATTGTCAATAACATGAGTTGAATATTGATGGAGGGAAATGATAGATTCATTAAGAAGAAACTGCGAAAATCGAAACACTAGCTATGCTTTTGCATTATTAGTTTCAATCCATTCTTTATTTTGAGCTCTTGATTTTGTTTTTGTTAGTTAGTTGTTAGTTATAGCTTACGTTTTTATATTTGAATCATATTCACAAAAATCCTTAAGGTTGATCCAACTTTGATCGCATAGCAAAATTGGTGCTTGATAGATCAATCCTCGTGGGAACAATATCGTACTCGCTACTTTATTACTTGTACGATCGATATACTTGCTATTTTTGGAAATAAGTTTTTGGGGTCATTGCTGGGGATTGAGCATTATCAACATTATTAATATCTATAATATCATAGATTGAATCTTTCTTATTTTATTTTTCACTAGTATAATTTTTGGTTCTTTATGATGTACTATCAACATCATGTCAGATCAATTTGAAATTCCACCAGATTTGCTGGAGGAATTGCTCAACAATGAATATGTAGATTTTTTCGGGGGTGAACATGCAAAGGATCCTTACAATCTAATAGACCAGTTTCTGTATCTCTGCAATGACATAATGATAGATGGAGTAACTGAAGACGCTATTAGCTCCAAAATTTCCCTTCTTTCTAAAAGGTAAAGCCAAGACATGGTTGAAGTCTCAACCTTGAGGAAGCATCACCACATGGGAGGACCTAGAATTCAAATTTTTGAGAAAATATTTCCCATCATCCAAAGCCTAAAGGACTAAAAAGGAGATTGACTCCTTCGCACAAAAGGACTGAGAACATTTATATCAAGCTTGGGACAGACTTGAGAGATTATGCAGGAAAAGCCCAGATCACCTTCTAGAAGACTAGCAATTGGCTCATACTTTCTACATCGGTCTATGCCCACTTTCGAGAATAAACTTAGATTTTGTAGATGAAGGACCTCTTTACATAGAGAAACTTGAAGAAGCTCTAAGGTTGATCGAGAAAGTGGTTTACGATGAATATCAGGCACTCAAGGCCCAACCGATAGTGGAACAAGAAGCTGAGAATGAGTCATCCATTCTAGCTAAGAGGATTGTATAGAAAATCCTTTTCTCACACAACCACAGCAAGACACCCTCTCTGGCTTAGAGAATGCGCTCTTACGTCTGATTAAAGAGGAGACATTGTTTAAGCAAGAGATCAGATCTTTATTCAAAACCCAAGGGGCATTCATCAGAGATCTTGAGCAACCCACTAAAGACAAGCAAGTTCAGAAGGATGTTAAGGGAAATTCATAGTTTAAGGATCATGATGTGGAAAAAGTTGATAAAGAATATGAAACCAAGGAGGAATCTACCGCAGAAGAAGAATTCAAAGTTGAGGAATATTCTAAAGTGGGGGAAGAGCAAGCATATGAAACATATATGGAAGAGATCTCTTTCCCAATAGAAAATACCTTCTTGCAGTCTTGTGATGAAACACTAGAATGGGAGGAGCATATAACTTATAAGCTCTTACTTTTGGATGAGTACTCCTCTATCCAGTAAATACTCATTTAGATGCTTTTTATAACGTAAATATGCACCAAATTAATGGTGTTATAATGAAAATTAACGGTAAAAATATTTTAAAACTTAGTGAGGTATAAGTTCTAAATGAACTATAAAAAAGAAGAAGAATAAGTCATAACTATGGGAATTAAATTATTGATTACAGTTTTGATTTTTTTTTAAATATAACTAATAGCTGTCATTAGGGATATAAATAGGCTAGACTAAGCTAGGCCTTGGCTTAAATTGGTCAGACTTGTGTAAAATACTTTAGGCATGGACTGATCTGTTAGCCTGTATAGGTTCAAATTATAAGTCTTGGCTGAACTATATTTAAAAAATAAAAGTCTTGGCCTAAGTCTTTTAGCTTATTTAAGCCTATTAGATATTTAATAATTAAAATAATATTATTTTTTATGCAAAATCATTAAAATAATAATTTATTTATTTTATTTAAAATAAATAATATGATATAGGTCAGTCTATAAACTTATAAGTCCGCCATGTAAAAAAAAGCTTATTGTCTACTCGGCCTATAATATTATCTTTTTAAAATTCCTGAACCTGTTCCATTTAACTATATGTAATAGGTTGAATTTCACTATTATTAACACCCATATCTGTCACCGATTCAACTATTGACACTTGAACACTTCTATAGAACAACGTGTGCACGGAAGGAATGCAATTTTTAACTAAGGAAAAAAATTTCAACCAAAAGGGTAGTACTTTGATTAAACAATGTCATTTAAAAAATAAATTATTGAATATAACAATGACAAGTGTCAAATTAGGAATGCCAAGGAAAATTCCAAATTGGCATTTCATCTTCGAAGCGAAACGGCACGTCACTTTGATTCGTTTAATTTTTAAACGGATAACTTTTAAACTCATGAAAGATTCTTGCATATCACTCATCATTTCCCCCTCTTTCTCTGTGGATGTGTCGTTTACTGGTAAGTACACACTTCCATTGGACGTTCTGTTTAGTTGTGTTCTCATTGCAACATGTTTGTGTCTGTGTTACATTGACATGACATGATTATGATGATCACGGTGAACTAAGGTAAAGGGTCTTATGGAAAATGTGTTCTTTTTCTCCAGGAATGCTCTGAATGCTTGGTAGCATTGTTTTTGTTTGTTCTTTTTCTTTCTTGTTTTCTTTCTTTCTTTCTCTTCTTTCTTCTCTTTTTGGTGGCTGAGATTTTTGTACTTATTTACTCTTCCTTGATGGGTCAGGTGCAAGATTGTAACTTTTTTGTCCTTCTGAGCTTAATTTGCTAATCCTTAGTTCATTTCTTTTTTCTTTTTTTTTTTTCTTTCTAAAGGAAATCATAATTCACAAAGTAACTTTGAATTTAAGTGCTTACATTAAGTTGGTTGTTAATTTCACCTTTGTATGGGGATGAGCCATTCAGTTACAGCAAGTGTGTGATTTTTGAAATTCCCTTGCATAAAGTCTTTTGATGAGTGGGGTTCTCTCTCCTAAGTTTGTGGTTCGCAAAATCTTAGTTGATAGATACCTTTAGGGAAGCACATGTGTTGATGGGTTTTCAAATCCACCAAATTGTCTCTTTTGCATTTTTTTTTTCCTGAGAAATAAATCTATTGAGAATTTGAAATAACTTATTCCATAAATGTTTAGCTAGTTGAGAAATATGATTAAACAATGCCTCTAAATAAAACTCTGTGTAGCAGTTAGTTTTCCCTTAATATGTGGATGATGTTTTTCTGTTTTTCAGCATTCAAGGTAGATTGGGTGGGTTTTATGAGAGATATAGCTGTCTTATTAGTTTTCTGAAGGTTTTGTCTGTACATTTTCAGGTACATGAGCAGACACTGAAGTAGTTAGAAATGAGTCGGACTTCATTGATTTTGATAATAGGAATTTGCATAGGCTTTGTAGTTGGAGTGTGTTTGGCACTTTCAATTTTATTATGCTTCAGGTGTGGATGGAAGCGTACAAAGGTGGAGAAGAGCAGTTCTGAGAGAGCAGTGGCCATTCCTGCTCATGTAGAAGGGGTTTATTCAAGCTCAACATTATCAGACTCCAATGTGGGTCTGGAATCACCCGGAACATCTGAGTGGAGTAACATGCCTTTATGGTTGGAAGGACTTAGGAGAAAGAGTGTAGTTTCAGCATGTGGAATTCCCAAATATTCTTACAAGTAAGTTAACTTTTGTTGCATAGAAACCTTTTAATTGTTTGCTGCTTTTGTGGACTGAGAGAGTGAGAGAGAGAAAAATTTGTTTACATATTATTGACAATGAGACTGTAACCATGCAAGTTCTCTCACAGAAGAGAAAAAAGGGTGTGCATGAAAACCGTCTCTTGCCTTGTTTATGGAAAGAAATAATTTTTTTTTCTACTTTTGTGCCCATGAACAAAGAAAGGACTAGGATATGAGACATGACTGATAAGGAAATATATAATGCGGTGGGGGATTGCAAAAGAATAGTAATTTGGGGGATTGTACACAACTTTTTTGGAATACTTCTTAGTTTTGGGTTTTTGGATTGAATATATTGGGTCTTATCAGTGGCTTAGGGCTGAGTTGGGGAGCATTTTCCATTTAACATTTAGGCATCTCGTTGTTTTCCTTCTATTTGTTGTCATTAGTGTTGCTAACTTGCCCATGTGTTGTATCTCTCTGTTTCTGTAACCTTGTGACCCCTTTTCCAGAGATATGCAAAAGGCTACTTCTAATTTCACAACCATCATAGGCCATGGAGCGTTTGGTCCTGTTTACAAAGCACAGATGTCCACAGGTGAGACAGTTGCAGTTAAAGTTCTTGGTACTGATTCAAGACAAGGAGAAAATGAATTTTTAACTGAGGTAATAAGGAATTTCTAACCAATGATATGTTTAGGTTTTTATTAATGTGTCCGTATCTGTATGTCCATGCAAATTGCTTTGAAAGTTTGCTTATGTATTTAACAAGGAAACACCTTTTTTTTAATGGCCATGTTAATTAAGTATATAGGCTTCAAATAGGAAGCTTTGAAGTGTGAATGTAACTGATTCTTTATGTTAAAATCTACCGAGGAGAAAACTAAATATTACATTAAAAATCAATTTAGCTTCCCCCCCCCCCCCCCCCCCATATTTAAAGGAGGTTCCTGTTTTCACTAAAACTTCACTCGTTATCCTTACATTGGGAATAAATCTTATGATGTAGGAAAATCCTAATCTCATGTCATAGATACATTAAGTGTGGGACCCACTTATTTAAAAAACAAAAAAAACAAAAAAAAAATGTGGCACACCTATTTATGGTATGTGTAGGAAGGGTTTGTTTTCTCATGCAACATGAGAAAAACAAACCCCCCTTACATTATTACATTATATATACCGCAGATTGCCAAACTCATTGATCCTTCCTTGGTGTTTTCTTGAAACTTTACTTCAAACGTGTTATGTTGGGTGGGAGGATAATAAGTTTGTGTATATAACATTAACTTAATTTTGGACAGTATAGAAATTTACTATAACCTTCAACCAAATATCACTATATAAATTTCAAAAGAATTTATTAGTATGTAATTATACTGTTATCTTCATTTTTTTCCCTTTCAAATCTTCCAAATTTTAAATTGGTAAAAAAAACTTGCATATCACTTCCAGTCAGACAACTGTGCACTGTGCAGTGTTAATATAGGGGGTAATACGTACAAGACTACAATTTTTCACATTCACTAATGCAATGCCATGTCCTGTACTAATGGTGCGAGCATTCTGTTACTCTATTGCTAACTCCCTTTAATTTGCAATATGATACTCTCAAATTGTTATTCAGGGATATAAAAACAGTATGATGAATTTGGAAGATAATAGGATTAATTCCCTCAAACTTTGCTTTCCTGTTAGCAGGTCCTATTACTTGGAAGATTACACCACAAAAATCTTGTTGGTTTGGTAGGATATGCTGCAGAAAGAGAGCAGCGTATGCTCCTTTACAGTTACATGAGCAACGGCAATCTTGCTTCTCATTTATATGGTTAGAAAGAGAGCAACTCTTCTTTTGTCATTTTATACTTGTAGGCAAAAAAGAAATTTGGATATTGCTGAATGAAATAGATGCTTGTAGCGTCTGAAGGCTCCATTCTTTGTTCCATAAAAAATAGCTTGATCTGAATATTTGTGTAAATTCAGAGAAGCATGTGCATTCACATTTTCTTGTGTAAATGATTTATCAGTGAACTTGTATTACTCAGTAATTTAACAGTCTGAATTGTTATGACTTTTGTCTTTTGGAAAATAAAACATTTGGTTATCCTCGGACTGGAGTTTATATTTACTTTCTTGGAAGTGCAATACCTTGCTATAATATGTGATGTCCTGCTGTTCATGATGATGCAGTTCTTCTTTTTTGTTTCCTTTTTTAAAAAAAAATTATAGCTTAAAACCACTGTGGATAGTTTAATGATATAGTTAAAACCACTATAATGATGTGGTAAGTATGAGGTGGTTATATGTTAGCCTGCTTTTCATCAACTTCACCATTTATGCCTATTGAACAAAGGTTATTCCCAGGACAACCCCAATTTTCTTATTTTGTTTAAGAGCTTAGAAGAATTTTTACTTGAACTCTATTTGTTCTCCATTTTACTTACCTTTGTTTGTGTTAATGATATAGGCAAAAATCATGGGCCATTGTGCTGGGATGTGAGACTTAGCATAGCACTAGATGTTGCAAGGGGACTGGAATATCTACATTTTGGGGTATATAGCTTATTCAAATATTATTGGTAAACTTACAAATGGAGAACATGGAATACTTTTACTTTTGGTTTCTTCATATTTTTTAAACACAACTCATTGCAGGCTGCTCCACCTGTTGTGCACCGTGACATCAAATCTTCCAACATACTGTTGGACCAGTTTATGAGAGCTAAGGTAACCTTGCATTTAGTTCACAGAAAGATAAAGAAGGATGTTGATGATACTTGAAAACATTCATTGGTGCATTTTTCATCATGGAAAGTATTGGGGTATTTTTGGTCCTGTTATTTATTCTTTTATTTATGTATTTCCTCACATTCTCCTTTTCTATATATTTCATCAAAATGATATTATCTTGCCAATACTTACCGAATAGGCTTGAAAGCTTTGTTGGGGAGAATTAAATGATATAGTGTTTTTTTTTTTTTTTTTGATACAATGGTAGTACTGAAGTTTGAACCTATAACTTCATGTAGACTATCCAAGTCTCACAGCACTAAACCAATCCTAATGGTTTGATGTCTTAGTTTTCTTGATTCAAAGAATGCTTTTCGGGCATTAATACCTTAATTTTGTAATGATAATGCTGCAATTTTCCTTGCTCATTGTATCCTTTCACCTGTTTTTGTCCAGATTGAAGCTTAAAACCTTTCTTTTCAATATAATTCTAACATCTATATTTTACTGGGCAGGTCACTGACTTTGGGCTCTCCAGACCTGAGACAATCAAACCTCGTATCTCAAATGTCAGAGGAACTTTTGGATATCTTGATCCTGAGTATATGTCTACCAAAACCTACACCAAGAAAAGTGATGTTTACAGTTATGGTGTGCTGCTGTTTGAGCTTATTACTGGCAGGAATCCACAGCAGGGGCTCATGGAATACGTAAAACTAGTAAGAACAGTGTCTGCATGTTGGCTTCTATATATATATTGATGCATAAGGAAATATATATAAATATATAACGTTTTAATATTTAGGATTCACGCAGTATTTTTTCTCTGGTTATGATTAGGCAGCCATTGAAGGTGAAGGTAAGGTTGGATGGGAAGAAATTGTGGATTCGCAGCTGAATGGAAAATATGATGTGCATAAGCTTAATGTTATGGCTTCACTTGCATTCAAATGTGTCAATGAAGTCTCCAAAAGGAGACCTCCAATGAGGGAAGTTGTTCAAACATTATCTCAGCTTTGTAAGAAGCATGGTAGAAATCATAGCCGAACATCTACTTCTGCCTTAAAGGAAGTTTCCATTGAAGTGGACCAGCTAGAAACTCATAGCTTTTCATCAATTAAGTTTTCAAAGGAGCTGCGCAGATTGCATAGCCGATAATCTTCAGAGCCTGCTAGTGCTTTTTGGATGTGTATATATCTGCTTTCTGTTTTGTTTACTTGGTTAACAATTTGAGTTCATTACCCTAATATCGTGACTATGTTAGGGGAATTCTACTCACAAATTTTGATTGCTTTATAATAAATAAGAGTAAATACCTTTTTTGTTTCTCAGCAAATGTCACAATGCCCGTTTTAGTCCCTAGCAAATAAAAAGGCTCATCGTGGTCCCTAAGAAATTCAAAATGGACCAATTTAGTTGAAATCGTAGTCCTCACAAATTCAAAAAAGACCCCTATTAGTCCCTAAAAGGATTTAAATGGGTCCATTTTAAATTTCTTAGGGACCACGATGGGCTTTTTTATTTGCTAGGGACTAAAACGGACATCATAAAATTTACTGAGAATCAAAAAGGGTATTTACTCAATAAATAAAAAGTATAACAGGATAGTGTGAGGGTACAAAAAAAAAGATTTTTCAGTAAGCTTTATGGTTATTTCTGAAGATGCAAAAAATATGACTTTATTGGCATCAATGATTACTTTTTTCACCCCACTTCGGACACAAACCTGTGACAGTGTAACCATTTGTAAGAAAGTCAATTGCTAAAAGACGTAGTGGTTACCAGTATGATATGATAGTTATCAGATATAAAAGCAGGCTCTAATGCAAACAATGACTAGTTATTTTAGCTTATTTAAGTCGTAAATATCAAGTTTTCAATATTTGGGATCAGATTCAAATATCTCTATGGTTTGACCTTGTAGGTGTCTTCATTAGCTGGTTTGATTATGCAAGCACATATCATTTGATAAAAACGTGGGCAGAATATGGGATTAGTAAGCATAATCCAATCCAATCCAAACTTATAGTAAAGTGATTGAGCTGTCCTTTTAACAAAGTGGGGATACCATAACTCGTATTCGAGGGATTTAATAAAGTTGCAATGCAGTAGGGGATTGCCATAGAGAACGTACTGTTCCCTTGATTTGAAGTTATTCGCTTAACTACTGAACATAACCAAGTAAAGTGCTACTACATAATAAGCGGAGAGTTCGCTAGTGCATTGAAATTTTATCAAAAAAATTTAGTTCTTCAGAGCCCCCTTAGTCTTCAAGTACTCCAGAGTGTGGTCAAAAATTTCTTCAACCCCATACTTGAAACTGAACCCTTCTTTGATAAGCTTCTCAGAAGAGATTATTAACTTTGCCTTGGTTGGACAGTCATGAAATCTGCAATTACAAAATGATTCTTGCCTTTAGAGAAATGAAGACATGTTTCAATTGTGAGAGAAAGGGAGTACTTTAGAACGAAGTCATCAAGGGTTCAAAACACAATGGTTCATCAGAAATTCATGGCCATAAAATTGGACTGCATAAATTTAAATAAGGGGGGTCGAAACCAATACAAGTGAAGAGAAACTTTGACAGATAGGTGTATTATATACCATAAACAACTTCAAAAATAGAAAAGCCAAACACTTGAAATAATCACTTCTAATTTCTTTTGCTATCAGAAACACTTGAATCTTGCAGCTTTGTAGGGATGAGAATTTTTTTAAAAAGCAAGTTCTTTAGTTTCTATGTTGTTAAGAGTTGTCCCGGGAACGTGGACAGGGTCCACCAAAGAATTTCTCTAAAATGCAAAAGACAAGGGTCTTTAGTTCACACCAAATGTATGACTAGAAACTTACTCAGTTGGAATTTTATACTGTGGGTATCGTTTGCTAAGAAACTTTGCAAGCTCAGGAACACTAGTATTGTGAGTACAGCAAATGTATCGACCAGAAGCTGATTCTTTTTCAGCTACAAATATATGTGCACGGCAAAGATCCTCCACATGAGTGATGGATATTGAACCTGACAGAAACTGCATACCTTTCAAAGCGTTTAAGAGGAAATCATTGCCTGCAAGATATATAAGTGTCATTGAAACATTAATGAGTCATTTAGTATGTTCCTTGTAAGTATTTGGCACAACTAAAAATTCTTTAAACCAGTGGATTTGGTAGTTTTTGAACCTGTTATGAGGGAAGTGGCAAGGCCAACACTGGAAGGGATATCTGGAGTGAGAGAAGGACCAGTTGTGAGACTAGGTATCACAGTTATGAGATCAATGTGATTTTCTTCAGCAAATTTCCATGCAGCCTTCTCTGCAAGTGCTTTAGAGACTGGATACCCCTGCACGTTTTGGATGAATTTTACTTCAATATAGATTGGGCAAACCCTAGTGTATAACCCTCCCCGACTTGCGAGAGTAGGGATGAGGGTCGATTATAAGCAACCTTACCTCTTGCATTTTTGCAAAGAGGTTGTTTCTCAAATTCGTACCCGTGACCTTCCGGTCACAAGGAGCCACCTTACTAGTGCTGCTCCAAGGCATGGGAGTGTGAAGAACCATTCAACATACCCATCCCCATCCCCATCCCAAGTTTTGATTAAGGTTTGATTTTTACCCAAGTGGGTGGCTTTGCAGTGTTCAAGTACTCAACATCAGTCCAATTGCTTTCATCCATAACCATATCTGTCCCTTCGACTTGGTTTATAGTTACGGCAGCTGCTGAAGATGTTAAGATGACTCGTTTAACTTTTGCACGTGCACATGCATTCAACACATTCAATACACCTTTGATTGCTGGCTTGATCATGTCATTCTGAATAGTAATTGCAGAAGCATTTGTTAATTAATCTTTTTCTTCAAAACACACAAACATATGCATATATTTACGTGTAAAAGCATCCGGTGTCAAACCCAGTAAATTTTATTTACGTGTGCATATTTAGTTCGAATATTTAGAAGAGGGGTGCTGCCCTTCGAAAAAAAATTAAACAAAGTTTTAAATGTATTAAAAAATAAAAGAATATAAACAAAAAGGATTATATTTCTCATGTTACATGAATCAAGGATATAATCATCAAACAACAAAAGAAAAATAAACTTCGACTTAATATAAAAAAACAATAATCAACAATCAACAATCAACTTAATGATATAAAACAACAAAAACATAAGCAGTGAATAAGATGTGTGCTTATATTCCTGGCAATGCAGCACTAAAATTGCTCCTAAGTGACATTTCTAATTAATTAAAAAATATATCTTTTAAAAAAAAAAATGTATGACAAATTTATGTGTGCATTTGCACACATTGCCAACCAAATAGGTGCAAGCATCCAATTTGGTTGTAAAATTTATAATGCAGTTTCTAGTTCAGTGTTCAATCTACCTCAGGATCTTCAGAAGCAAAGTTCACGGGTGTAGCAAGTTGGAAGACAAGTTCACATCCTGCTACAGGGGCATCAAAATCTTTTTCTACTGTTAATTCTGCTCCAAATATGTTCAATTCGCCCAAACTTTGCAGTGCAACAAGGTGAGATATTTTTTTAGCGTTATCTGCGCAAAACAACAAAATAATAACTTTTGTTCATGACAAAATCTTATTTGGTCTTCAAGTACCTTTTCCTTTATGGGTTTTGTTTTCATTCTTCATAGGTATTGTGTTTTTGTGGGTACAAACGAAGAGGGCTAACCAAAAAATAAAGACAATATATCACACATGTAAAAAAAAAAAAAATTGATACTTGACACATGTAATTTGCTTTTTTTCTTTTTTCTTTTGGTTAAAATGAAGCATATATAAAATTTGGAAAAAGTGTGACTTTTAATTATACAAATTTAGATCCTTTTAAGAGAGATAAATACAAAGTAAGATCTATATTTTTATTTTTATTTTCTTTATTTTTATTAGTAAGATCCACACCCTCTGTATAGCTATTTCTCTCTTAAAAAGCCTTAAGCTTGTGTCCTTAGCAGTGTTTGGTTCAAGGTTTATTTTGTGATTGATGGGAAAATGTAAGTGGATATTGAAAAATACCACGTTTGGTTCAGGTTTTTTTTTAAAAATACCAGGCAAATAGGATAGATGGGAAAATGACTTTTGTGTTGATTTTTGGATGAAATTCACTGTTACAGAATTGAGATGTGGTATTCTGAGATAACTGGGGGAAGTGAAAAAACAGGTGCAAAATTTCTCCCGAACATAGATTTTGCATATTTAAATAAACTTCCCTGGTAATATTTGGGTCAACCAAACAACTTTTTTTATATTTTCCTACCAAATTCACTTTCCAACCATTTCCCTATCAATTACATTTACCTAGTAAAAAAAAATTTCTCACGAACCAAACACTACCTAGAAGGACACACTTTAATTTATTCGAGAGTGAGACATACCTGGGTCTCTAACAGTGGTGTTGACCGCATAACCCTTTTCAAGCAACTGTTTGATCAGCAAAGAAGCCACAAACCCACTACCACCGATCACACATGCTTTCTTCTTTCCGAATTGCTTGATACTAGCCATATTTTCACACACACAGACAGAGACACACACTCTCACTTCAAAGGTTGAAATGAAACTTAACCCTAAGACAGTTTTTAGAAGCAGAGTTGTTTGCTTCTTAAATAATATTAGTGGTTCAGTTACTTGAACACAGTGTTTGTTTCATGTGAGCATTAAAAAATTTAAGGTGAGCACGTGAGTTGTGTCCTCACCAACGACTCAATATCAACTTGTCTTGGGAATTTTGGAAACCTTTTCCACCTTCCATTCTGCCCTATAAATATTTTCCTCACGTTTCATTTTGAATTCCAAATACTCACCCTATCTACCCTTCTCAAAATATCTACCACTCAATCATAAGCCTATGTAATGTTCATGTTCCATGTAAAAATGTGCAAAATAACTAAAAAATTAAAGCGAACTATGAATCGATTGAATTGTCCCTTAAAATAATCAGTTTTTAAAAATCAGTTCATGAATCGAACATGAATCGAACCGATTTTTAGAACTAGTTTAAGAACCGAACCGATTTGAACCGAACCGAACTGTTTCCGAACCAAATCGAACCGTTTTCAAAACGAATCAAATTAATTTGTATAACTTTATTTTTTAAATTTTTATTTATTTTTTCTTTTCAAAATAGGGTCGATCCGAACCGAACCGAATCAGTTTCGAACCGAACCAGTTTTAAACCGAACCGAACCATTTAAACCAATTTAGTTCAATTTTTCAAAAAATTTGATTCGATTCAATCCATACACATTCATAATTACTACCCAATGGGTGCAGCTCAGTTGGTAACTTAGTGCTGAGTTAGTGGGGTTGGATATGTGTTCGATTCCCGCTGAATGCATTCTTGGGGAGGGGGCTGAACCTTTAGCCATCACTGTTTCCCCGCACTCCGGATTAGTCTCATAGCCGGCTCAAAGAGTCGAAGCTCGTGGAGATACCGGAGGGAGCCAACTCGTCTCAAAGAGATAATTAGGATTTGGTAACTCCAAAAAAAAAAAAAAAAATTTGCACCCACCTATGATCTACCAACACAGTCACAAAATAACATGGTTGACAGTTGACACAGTCCATTGCAGTACATTGGGAGATTTTACTAAACAATTTTTATGCCTCTAGGGACCTTGTCACTTTGATTTACACAATCCTTTTTAGCCCATTTATGGGCATACTTTTTTTAATAATAATAATAAAAAGCTTTCTTCATGAAAAAAGTGATCTATTATATTTTATATCTTGACGTTCGTTATCTAAAATAAATTATAATCTTTGACTTCATCATAATTTATTTTTAAGAAATCAATTACCCTATAATCAATTATTGAAATCATTTTTTTTTTACAACTAATCTAACACTCTTGTTGCATCTTTTTAAAGCTGTTTTTTAAAATAAAAGTAATTCTTTTAGATATCAATCGTGAAGTCTTAACGAACTTCACTAATTATGAAAACTCTCCAAGAATGACAACTCTCGGAGGTTAAATTCACAAGTTAGTCAACACAATTCTCATAAATACATAATATAATACTAAAGTTATATTTTTTTCTCTTTCTTTACATCAACTAACAAATTTTTGAAAAGAAAAAATAATAATTTTAATATTATAATTATAGGTGTTATTAATCTCATGTTAAAAGAGATAAGTTATCTCATATCATATAGATAAATTTGTGGACTTCACCACCTGAAAATTAAAAAGAAAAGAAATGAAAAGAAAAAGATGACACAGTTGTCGAAGAGTGTGTAGGAGAAAAATTTATTACATGTAACATAAGAATAATTTTTTCATATAATTATATATTTCTTAAATACATAATTATGATACCACCACCGTTGCACCAAACAATCGGTGTCACTATAATACTAAGGTTTTATTCATCCGAAAGAAGGAAAATGATATTGTGACAATCAAGTTGTGTTACTACCAAGTGACTACCAATCAATCTCACCGTTAGATCGATTATGTTGATCCAACGGTTATATTTATTTTCATCTTTGTATGGTCATGATTCCCCATATTTAAAGTGAAAGCATTAAATATGGGAAATCATAACCATACAAAGATGAAAATAAATATAAAGTATTAAATTTGGGGAATCATGACCATACAAAGATAGAAATAAATATAACCGTTGGATCAACATAATCGATCTAACGGTGAGATTGATTGGTAGTCACTTGGTAGTAACACAACTTGGTTGTCACAATATCCTTCTCCCGAAAGAATATAAATTCTTGGAATTTTATTCCCTGTACCTTTTTTTTTCTCCTCTCTCTCTCCCCTCTCTCCTCTCTCCTCTTTCTCTCTCTACTTTTTTGTGTCTTGAGGGACCCGGGAGCTCTACATTTTCTCTCTAAATTCTTACACCAAAATGGCGTCCTGCTCCAACATAAATACTTTTTTGTGTCTCGGGGACCCGGGAGCTCTACATTTTCTCTCTAAATTCTTACACCAAAATGGCGTCCTGCTCCAACATTTATGTGGGTTTCAGTGTGGCCAGATAGCACGGAAATTCAACAGTAAAGATTGCTAAAAGTATTTGTCCTTTCTCCAAAAGGTAGTGTTTCGAATGGATAAAAATTGATGTGATGCAACTAACAAATTAAAAAGCGTACTATCTATGAAAGAAATGGTAGTTTCATTTTTCTAATTATTCTTTCCTCTTATTATTTTGAACCGAGTAAATTTTTTTTTGTCCAAATTTCACGATGCCCGCTTTAGTTTTTAGTAAATAAAAAGGTACGTCGTGGTCCCTAAAAAATTCAAAATGGATCCATTTAAGTCCTTTTAGGGACTAATATTGGTCTTTTTTGAATATGTGGGACTACAATTTTAACTAAATGGATTCATTTTAAATTTCTTAGGGACCACGATGGGTCTTTTTATTTGCTAGAAACTAAAACAGATATCGTGAAATTTAATGAGAACCAAAAAAAATATTTACTCTTTGAACATTTGTACTTCCTTCTCATAAAATTCATGAGTTATACTTTAATCTATTTAATATAAATGAATTTTTTAACCGTTATGAAAATGAGTCTTTCAAAGATATTATTTTCTCTTTCTCTCTATCATTTTTAATGTCACCATAATCAATTTTAAACACCCTAATAATAACTTCAAGATTTTTCAAATAAAATAAAATAAAAATATTTATTATAGGTTTTAGGACTTCACTCAAAATCTTTATTTTATTTTCTAAAATTTCAAAGTCAATAGTAAAAGTTTCAATTTACCCAACAAAGATAAATATAATTAGGTAAGGGTAGGGGTGTTCAAAAAAACCAAATGATCAAAACCAATTCATAAACTGAACCAAACCAATTTCAAAAACCGGTTTTTATAAAATGGTTTAAAAAATCAATCCAGTTTTTTAATTTTGATTTTGGTTTGATTATCCATTTTCACAATAGTTTGAATATCCAACATAACCAAACCATATCCATTTTTTTAATACTTTTTTCTTTTTTCTTTTTTCTTTTTTAATCCTATCTTCAATATTCTGAATCTTAGTTCCATAAACCCTTACTCCCAAATTCCCAATTTTAATGGATTTGCAGTAACTCCTAAATGAGAAAAGGAGTAGAGATTGTACTTTTTTTTATTTGGAATAGAAAAGAAAAATCTGAATCTGATGATGGAAAACTAAAAGTTTACATGTTTTGCTCGGATGCAGCAACGTGCTGTAATAACCATAACCAGATGCCAGAGTTCAAAGGTTAATGACTCAATGGCATCCCAAGTGATATTCAATAGGACCACGTACACATCTTGGTTCCAACCCACCTCTTAAGCCATTTGCCAATTTGTTCCACTTCCCATCTCCTATCTCCTCCCATTACATTTTACAGCTTTTCGTTCTGAATCATTACATTCAAAATCGGTTTTTAATTGATTTTAAATCAAAACTGATTTTCAATTATAAACCGGTTTTGGAACTGGTTTTAAACCGGTTTGGATAAATAAAAACCGGTTTAAAAAAAAATCGGTTCGGTTTTAAAACCAAACTGTTTAAAATCGGTTCGATTCTGTTTTTGTCAAAATCGGTTACGAACCGCTCCATGCACACCCCTAGCTAAGGGTATGGTCTATATTCTACAAGGACGTGAATTCAAATCATGTAATATCTCCTGAAAATTCTTAAAGAGGTTGAGTGGTCCTGTTTGATCCTAATAGAATACTGGTGTCTAATTCCACTTAAATTTTTATGGATTAAAAAAAAGGTTTCAATTTACTCACTTATGAATTATAGTACTATCCATCGCTTAAAAAGAAAAGCTATATTTGAAAGGCTCAATTATATTAAAACGGACTAAAATATATAATATAATTTTTTTGGTAACATATAAATTATTTCTTTTACTATAACTTTAAAATAGAAAGGATCAAATAATAACATTCATTTTTTTTTAGGCAACATCATTTCAAAATGAAATATTTTGAATGTTGCTTTAATCCACTCTTCTTTCTATTAACATTAGATTTTATATCTTCAATACATCAAAAATAATTTGTTTAGTATTCCTTCTTGTTTATGAAATTTCTTCTTATTACAAAATAAAGGCTTACATATTATGCATGGTACAAAGTATAACGCATATCAATTCCTCGAAAAAAGATTAGTGTAGCTTTTTAAAATAGAAAGAAATACATTATAACACTCGGGTTTAGATGAAATCTTTTGGATGCGGCGTTTGTTATAATTTTTCCCACTAATTTTTCTACATGAAAAATAATCTGTTTAGTATTTCTTCTTATTTTTAGAATTTCGTCTTATTTAATTACAAAATGAAGGTTTACATACTATTACATGATACAAAGTATAACACTCATTAATTGTATAAGAAAGATGAGGGAAGTTATACTTCCAATTTTTTTTTTTACAACTTCTTACAATCATATCTTAACACTGTTGATTTTCGCTAATCAACGGTTATTATTTTCGCAAATTAAACTCATTAATTAATTATAAATTCACAATAAATGATAACCGTTGATTGACGAAAATCAACAGTGTTAAGATATGGTTGTAAGAGGTTGTAAAAAAAAAGTTGTAAGTATAACCGTTCTCAAAAAGATTAATGTAACTTTTTGAAATAGAAAGGATTTCATTATAACATTCTGTTTTAGATGAAATCCTTTTCGATGTTTTATATCTCTTTTAATTTTATTTTATTTTTGATATAGTAATGTAGAAAACTTGTCAATAAAAAAAAAAATTGTTTTGTCTTCTACAACCAAAATATGAAAAGAAAAAGAAGAAAAGTTCGATTTTGATGCCTTCGTTTTATCTCTTTCTTATGTCGAGTGTTGCTTGCATTTAACTTTATTATTACTTACAAATCAATGTTTAAAGTTTACAATCCTTCAATTTTTATTTAATCAGATTTGTTCTTATAATTAACAAGTTAAGATTTACTTCCTGCATTAGTGTTTAAAGTTGCAGCGATTTTTCACAAATATAGAAGAATGACTTATACTCATGTCTTATTGAATTATATTTAATTTCAAACATTATGATAGACATTTTATCAACTTTTGATTACAACACTAGTGTTGAATAAAAAAGGAAAACTCATAAGCATAAATAAACTAAATTATTGTTATTCACGAAGTAATCATTTAGGTCAAACACAATCACCAATAACTAAGCAAATCAAAATCAAAGACGCAGTTACTACCCAAAAGCATTAGATGATTAAAATACAAAATATTTATGTGATAAAAAAATTTATGTGATTACTTATGTTGATTGTATTAGTCTTTGTGTACAAAAATTTCCCACAGAGCAAAGGAAATGAACGAGTGTAATGCATCTACTTGTTGCAGATGAAACATATCAAAGACAGAAAGAGCTAGTTCCTTCTGCTACCCTTTGAGGTTGAAGCCAGACCCATCATGTCCAGAACAGGTTTTCTATGTATGATGTTTAGTATTGATATGCTTCTGACTGCTGAGAGAAATCAGAAAGGACTCAACTGGGAGAAAGTATATAAAAAGTTACTTTACAATGATTATCAATCCTCATTGAAAAATCCTGCAAGTGTAGTTTGATATATTTCATAGAACAAACCATTACTTATTGTGCCAAAGATATTTAATTACATGATCAATAACGTGCCAATGTTCTATACAAGATGATGGAGGGACCATAAATCAAGTGACTAAAATTTCATCAAGAGAAAGAACCATTAAAACTAAAGTCATTGCAGTTTTATAAGTTATTAGAAACTTTATTGGCCAAGTCTTCTGAGTGCAAAATTCAATGTGAAGACAGAAGACAGCACAAAATAAATAAGAATGAAAATCTTGCTCTCTAGCATCTTCAATTTGATATAAACTTTCTTTGGTCTACAAAAGTCACAGGCAAAATCAGAAGTCAAAACTCATTTATTGACACAATTTGATTCTCATCATTCAGGCTTGTCCAAATGGGAAATATATAGTATGCTAGCGTAGTACCTACATCCGGCCAATAAAAACATGACACCTGTGCTGAAATGCTTCTTAAAGAGAGAGAGAAAAAAATAATATTAATATTATGCCTATGTATTCCCGAAAATACATAGTCTATAATTTCATTTTAAATGGGAGTAGTTCCCACTACTCTGTGCGACGGTAGTCCTAAACTTGCTCTCGTCCAAATGACCATAAAGTTCTTCCCAGTTATCTGAAGCTTCTTCTGGCGTCCGAAAAGTCCAGATATGTGACTTCGATTTCTCACGAATTTCCAGAACTTCCTGCACGCAGGAGTTACAGCATGTTACTCAAAGTAATAGCCGGATAAACTGCCATGCCAGATCTAATAAACCACGCAACTGTGCCATAGCACATGGTAAAACGATCAACAACAACGAAAAATCATAAAGGTTCATCTTATATAAATAGTTATTTTCTTTTCCGTCCAGCTTGACGAGCACATGGTAGAATGATGAATATAAAAAAAATACAATAACACCAACTAACATTAACTAAGAGCTCTTGCACATTTCATGTTGCAGTACTGTTCATCATTCACAGAACAGAACAGCATAACGGGCATCAATTAGAAGGGCAAAACTAGCAATGAAGAGAATTTCAAAGACAGAGTTGAAAGGACAGGTTCCTTAACTCTCTAATCTCACAAACATGAAATAACATAAAACCAAATTCTAAATACACATATACCAAGTAAGCCACTCCATATCAATAATTCCATGCATTGATGTCAAATGTCAATTACCACACAAAATGCTATATCATCATTGAAATATGCATTCAGTCACTAAAATTAATCCCAACTAATTTCACTAACGGAATACATAATTCATATATTTATAAGGTAAGTTCTATCAACGCTATATTTTTTATGACTAACTCGAATATTTTAACCCAATGTCTAAAAAAGTTTTCAGCATATAATAAATAACATCCAATAATTACATTATTGTTGCATATCAATTAATGAGGATGAAGTAGGAACCAACCTGGACTTGAGAATTGGGTTTGGTCTTGAGCATTAAGCAGTCAACCAATGCTTTCCATTTGTCGGAACAATTATCAAGAACACCAAGCCTGTAATACTGCTGCATTTGATGAACCGGGGCTGCACACATTAAAGGCACAAACTTTATCAGTAATTTGATGACCCAATTGAGAAAAGACACCAACTTTTGAGGTTTTAGGGCAATGAGTATATTACAGTAGCAGAACCAGAGATCATCGAAGCAAGTGGTACACGATAATTTACGATTAGCTGTAGAACTTAAAGCTTCCTTCTCCGACGACATAACTATCTCAAAATCGGAGACCGAACCCCAAGTCCCTCCAAGTCTGAGATTTTTGCTAAATAGGAGTGGTAACGGATTAGGGATTTGATACACGAACTTATTCGGACTAACTTGATCAAACTGATATGATTGTGGATCGGGTCGGGTCCTAAGTATGGAGCAATTGATCCTAAATCCTAATTCCTAAATATGTTGAATAGATAATTTTAATCTGATACATTATTCAAAGATTTAGTTTTTAAGTAAGAGGAAGAATATTGTAACAATCAACTAGTGTTATTATTAATGTTACTACCAATTAATTTCACCATTGATCAATTATGTTGATACAATAATTATTATAGTTACTTTTTTTAATAATGTGAACAAATAATAATAAATAATTTGATTATAATATGAAAAACTTTTACATTTACAATAAATATAACCGTTGGATCAACATAATCGATCTAACGGTGAAATTAATTGGTAGTAACATTAATAATAACACTAGTTGATTGTTACAATATCCTTCCCCTTTAAATAATTATTATAGTTACTTTTTTTAATAATGTGAACATATAATAATAAATAATTTGATTATAATATGAAAAACTTTTACATTTACAGTAAATTAATTTTTTTTTAATAATTTAAATACTTTCTTAACTCATTTTGTATTTAAAATAGTTTATAACCAAATTTATTTTAGAAAGTTTTTGATACTTTTTTTCTTTTTGAATTAATCAAAACCTAAGCTGCACTAAATTATACACGTGTAGTGTGAGTCTGCCAAAGTCATTGTGAGAATTATTCAACTTCTTCCTGGTTTGCAACTCGGGATATGATCCAACATGATAACATTAGAAAAGGTCCATATTAAAATGAACCAACCGTATCACAAAAAAATAGGAAACGGAAAGCTTTGAATCAGCCATCAACATTGGAAAAACTCAAACTTGATTGGGCTAGTAGAAATTGCTTTCTTTCTACATGCATTGTTCATTTTAGCTCACAAAACAGTTTCTAATTATCTGTACATAATACGTACAATACTAACACTGTAGTGTACTATATTTCGATTTCATTTCACCCAGACTTGAAAAAAGCAAAAAAACAAAAAAGGACTCTCCACCATAACTTGCATTACAATCAGAAGTGTCTCAGATTTTTCAGTTTACGCTGGGCTATAGAAGCCTTAACCTGCTCCATATGACAAGAAGCTTTCTCAGGTCCAGTCAACCCATAGCAGGAGTCAGTGGCCCCTAAAGTGATAGCAAAATACAGATAAACAGTACAGAGGAGAAATAGTAGAACAAGAGCATATAAGAGGAAGCGGTGTCTCTTCAAGAGTGTTGACCAACTACCCAATTCATACTTTGTAAATTGCTTCCTGAAAGATGGTGACCTCATCCGAGGAGAAGACAAAATGGAGTCATGAACCATGGCTTCTACAACGACCTACTTAGGACAGCTTGAATCTGTACATCATATCAAACATTAGCAAGAGTGTTAGGAAATTCAATGCTCATGTAATAGCACGTATATTTGACTCCACAGAAAATAGAATATACAGCCTTTGGAGAAGTTAAACATATATGTGTGTGTTTGTATCTTCGAAATCAGAGTCACATTCCATCCAGAAACTATGAGGAAATATCCTTCAATAAAGAACAACAAAATGCTAATGCATCATCAAGATGAAAACATCTCAGTAGTAGATAAAGCCATAAGTTCACACCCATTTCATTAGTATCCAGGAAGCAAGAAGATGGCAAAATTGCAAAATTTAAGAGTTACACAATTTCTCTGCTGAATTTATGTTCAATCATCAATTAAAAGCTAACTAATAAATATCAACGTGTGTTACCTCAATGCAAGAGACTATGCTGAAAATGATTTCTACATGTTTCACAGCCATATAGCTGTGGAAAATCCTATATAAAATTAGACAAACCCCATATATTGAATAAATGGAAAAAAGCCAACTAAATTGCAGCACTTCCACACTACACAAAACAAGATGGTGAAAGCAATCTACTCAATCCCGCGCTAGACCTAAACAAACCCTGATAGGAAAGCATATACTAGCATACATTAAAAGGCCTCCGCAAAATATTAATCAGCAAACAACACTCCAAAAAATGGAACATTCAGAATTCCAATAGACTAAAGAGGCTGGTAGTGAATAAAAACACAATCAAAAGAGAATAACTCTACATTAAAAGAATGCAACCCCCAAAGACAACTAGAACAATCCTTTTACTCATGTTAGTAATATAGTGACTAATGAGGACCGAGAAAAGAGGATAGTTTTCTTCTTGTATAAAAGACGAGATATGAGAACTTCAGCTGTGGTTCCTTCTGTATGAATCAAACCTAAGCCAAATGTGTTCTTCATAATGTTAAAAATATGATATAAGAATCCTTATGGACAAACATGCCATGAAAGGAGCACATGATTCATCATTATATTGTTGTAATCCCAACCTGATTAAGTCACCACAGCCTACTATGGAAACAAGGAGTCAAAAAAGAGTATTATAAAATATCAAGAAGGAGCCACAGGCTTAGAACTCGCATGATTGTCTATTGCAAGAATAGCATATGATCAAGTCATCGTTTGTGGTACTCCTGAGCTCAATAAATATGGCTAGTAGACTTGCAATGTAAGGAAAAAAGCATCAGGCTGCATCGAGGTTTCATTATCTATAACAAATGCCAACATTATTCCCTTGCTATTTCATCAAAAAATTTATATCCTAAAACTAGTGTAGCACCCATGATTGCAATAACATGTGAGAAAATCAAATAAGATTCAAAGAGATCAAGATATACAAATACAAGGACAAAGCCTGAAACATAATGCCTCTGCCCGATGGCATTCCTTAGTATAGTAGATTCCAACACAGCATCAGCCAGGATGAGTATATTAACCCCATTGATCCAATCTACTGAAACCCATATCCCATTTAAACAAGAAAATTGCAAATTATGCAAATGCACACAACTTGATCTGAAAATTAAACAGGTTAAGACTATATTCGCAAAATGAATCTGTTACACCTGAATCAAATTGTGCCACCAATACCCGTACAAGAAAAATACCTTATTGTTTTTTTATTCCTTTGGCAATGCATACATGGATTCAGAACAAAATCTCACCCAAAAGCATATCCGACCCAAGATACTAACAAAGAATTCGCACATCTAAGCTAACAGTAATAAATGAGAACGTCATTGAATCGAAGAAAAAGAGAGAGTTATCATTGACCAAGAAGAAAAGAAAGAGAAGGAGATAGGGGAGGAACCTTGTTTCGCGTGAAATGGGTTGTTTTTTGTGAGGAAGAGCAACAACAACGTTGTAATTAAAACCACAGATGGAAATGGAAAACGGAATGTGTAATTATTATTATTAATCATATCATTTGTCATGTGAATGTGTGTGTGAGAGAGAGAGGGGAACCATCCGAATCCAATCAAGTCAAACAAACAAACGCTCTTTTTAGCTGTCACAAACTACTATTAACCCCTCCCCCAGTCCCTCTCGTCTCGTATACGGATTTTCTTTCTTTTTTTTTTGGTGCTACCCTAATATAAATTCGGTGCATCTATTTTGTATATAAAAAACTTTTATTCCTCTTCAATCCAATTCTTTTTTTCAATTCCTCTTTGAGTTCTTTTTTTTTTTTATCCTTTTTTAGGAGGGAGCATGGTACTAAGCTAACTAGAGCATTTATCAACCGATTCAAATCAAAGCGGTCGAATTGAAAAACTGAATTAACAGAAAATCAAAAAATCAAAAACCGAAACAATATCGCATAATTTAATTGGATTGGATCGGTTTTCGATTTGGTTGGTAAAAACAGATCCAATTCAAAGTAATCCAATGTATTATGTATTTATTAATTTTTTATTATCTATTTTAACTCTTCATGCGTTTTAAGACTTATTTTAGTTTGAAGACTTGAATTTTTAAGTGGTTTATAACTTTGAATGACTTTATTTTTATACAGCTAGAGGTTTGTATGACTGAAATTTTAGGCTTTTTGAAAAATTAAAAACCGATCTAATCCAAACCGAATAAAATTGGATTGGATTGAAAAAAAAATCTAAACCGAATGGATGATTAAATGATCAAACCGAAGGAATTAGATATGATGATTTTTACTTAAAAATTGATCCAATCTAGAGCACGAACATCTCTGCAATGCACACAAAAAGCTATACGCTTGGTTTGATATATATACATCTCTGCAATGCACACAAAAAGCTATACGCTTGGTTTGATATATATATATATATATATATATATATATATATATATATATAGAGGTAGGATACTTTGACACCGGTGTCAAATTTGAATTTTGACATCTCATCTGAGAGCCATTAGATAAAAAAAGATCAACGACTCTGATATTAAGCATGTGACACCATTAATCTTTTTTGATCTAATGGCTCCTAGATGAGGTGTCAAACACTGGTGTCATAGGATCCTACCTCATGTATATATATATATATATGAGAAAATATCCACCCAATGGGTGCAGCTCAGTTGGTAACTTGGCGCTGAGTTAGTGGGGTTGGATATGTGTTCGATTCCCGCTGAATGCATTCTTGGGGAGGGGGCTGGACCTTTAGCCATCACTGTTCCCCCGCACTCTGGATTAGTCCCATAGCCGGCTCAAAGAGTCGAAGCTCGTGGGGATACCGGAGGGAGCCAACTCGTCTCAAAGAGATAATTAGAGTTGGGTAACTCCAAAAAAAAATAAAAAATATTCTCTCATATTGTAAGAGAGTCTCTTATCAATGATCTTTCAATTTTCGTGCAAGATTTTCTTTTGCTTTATGATTTTTTTTTTTTGATAACAGCTTTATGATTTTTTAATAGATATGGGTCCAACACAAGATGTCTCTATAACATAAGATACATATTTCCTATTATAGGCGAAAATTGAAACCATATATTTATATATATATAGAGAGAGAGAGACAGAAATATTAATATTTCTCATGTTGTAGGAAATTAATTTTATCTCTTATATACATAAAAGTGAGAAAAAGAGAAAGAAAGAGAAAATATGAACCCTACATACTTTTATGTGTATGTAAGAGATAAACTCAAATTTGAAATTTGACACCTCATTTGAGAGCTGTTAGATCAAAAAAGATCAATGGTATCACATTCTTACAAATCAGAGTCGTTGTTCTTTTTTGATCTAACAGCTCTTAGATTAGGTGTCAAACTTTAAATTTGACGCCGATGTCAAAGGATCTCGCCTCACACACACACACACACACACATATATATATATATATATATATATCTTTTTTAATAAATAGAAAAGAGTGACAAAAACTTAAATAAAACTAATTTTGTTTATAAAATGTGTAAATAAGAATTTTTGGTACAAAGAATACTATTTTTTAAAGAATTAATTGATAAATCGGAGGAAAATTTTATAAAGAATTAACAATTTTTATTCCCATAAAAGATGTTAGAAGAAAACTTGTTTTTTTTATCGGTTTTATCACTATTGATCCACCTTTGTATAACTATGGTTCTCGTTTTATTTAACATAGAGGGTCCATTCCCGTTTCCTTTGATGTTTAGATACCTCAATGCGTTACTTAATGGTTTAATGCCCAAAAAAGAGTTGGATTTTTTTTTGAAAGAATTTTGTGCTCACGACTAACTGTGGTCCCAATTAGACTTAGATTAATGTACAACATAATTCTTGTATCAATTTGTGTGCTTAAGTTGAGCACATTAGGTTGATAAATTATTAATTATTACTATTTAGTTATCATAGTTAATTACTACTTAGTTACTACATGTCAATAATTTATGAACTTAATACATCAGATTCATATAAAAATTTCTCCTACCCCTGGTTTTGTCCGTAGTTTTCTTGAATTCATGCGTTCAAGTACAAATAGCCAAAAAAAAGAAAAAGAAAAGAAACATATAGCACCAAAATCATTTAACTAACTAATTTGAAAGACCAAAAAGTCCGTGCAAGCACAAGGAAGGCACATCTTTAGTTAATCTCAAATGGAGCCGAAGCCTTGAACCGCCAAGATTAACAAGAAAATTGAAACTGCCAACATATTAAAGTAGCATCAACAATGAGTTACCATGGATCAAGTTCTTAAACGCTATAAGGCAAGATTCTCTTTAGGAATAGAGCGCACACAAATCACCTTTTACCCCGAAGCAATACTATCATAAATTTGCGTGGATTGGTGCTGCTGAGCTTATCATTTCTGAATATGTTATGTTTTCTTTAGTATAGGATTAGTAGAGCTATTGTATGAACAATCCATGAAAAGTTTATGTGAACTTTTATTTCAATATCTCCATTTAAATTTTCTCTATGTTCGTTGAAGGAAATATGTAACACCCACTATAACAGACAACACAAGACTTTTACTTAAACAAGCCAACCCCCCATAGGGTGCCATAAAATTCCCATCACTTCAGAACAGGAAATATGAAGAACCGAGGACAGAAGCATGATTTCTACCCAAGTTTCGTCCCCTGAGGCATTCCACATCCACCACGTGCGAATGATCAATAAAGAGGTTAACCTGAAATAAGAGGTATACGTATAATATCAACAAAGCTGTAAGTTGGGTTTCTTATTCTTATTAGCAAAAAGGGCAACTATGCCTAGAATTATTTAGCAGACCATCTACCTTTGGACCATATTGTTTGATAAACCACTCGGACGTTCTCTGATTTGATGCTTCAAACATAGTCTTCTCAAGACCAAGGCGCCCTATGATCTTCGCAATGATATCTGCCCGCATATTATCAGCATGTTTGCAGACATCATCAGCATCAATCATTATCATGTCTGCACCTGCTTCTAAACATCTCTCAGCCTTCCTGATCAAGAGATCTACATCTTCTACAAATTCTGTGGCAAGAGTTTCAATACAAAGTCAAAACAATATATTATGTTGATTTTACATTTTTCATTGCCAATCAACCTTCTGTCCAAAAAAAATTGAAATATTATGTGCCAGTAACTAGTGGGTTGGAATTTCTTAAGCACCATTCAAAATGACTACAGCAAATAGTATCATGTAAAACACGTCCAACATCAATGAATTAGGAAATATATACCACATAGGTGTATTGACCCCCTATCCTGGCCTCTACCCATTTGATTCTACACACATTCTAAGCAGATCTGTCTAAAGTAATAAAGGTGACGGAATCCATAATAAGCATATCTTCTGCATTCATTCATCTGATTAAGCAATTTATCCAAATTGAAACCAAAACCCTTCAGAATTTAGATATTTTCATTTCTTATATGAACTTTTTTGTTTTCTATAAAAAATTTATTCTGAACTTTAACTTTATACTTCTGCTCAAAATCAGAAAAGGAAAGCTCATGCAGCAAGAAGATACAGACAAAGTAGCTAACTTTTATTTTTTTAATGTTACTATCATGCTAAGTACGTACAAAATTAACTATTAGATACTGGGTATGGAACATCCAATCAAATTGAATTGAAATTGAATATAGAAGAGGAATTGAATCAAGGACACAAACTGAGAAATTGTTCTATAAACAGAAATTTGATGCTAAAATGATTGGAACTTGAACATGCTTCTAGTGTAGTTCCAATTTTTGTTTTCATAATCTTGATTTCGGTTGACATTGCATGTCATTTGCTTAACCAAGCTTTGGGTTTCCATCATTAATTACTTCACATAAATTACCTGCACTGCCCTTCCCTTAAAAAAGAAAAAAACCTATCTATAGTACATTATTAAACAACCACATATCATATAAGGCTTATCAGCAGGCTTGTTGTAGACAAGGAATATCAGACATATTTCACAGATTAGTGCATTCTCTTACTAGATTCATGAAAATTATATCAGCACAATAGTATTGCCTGAAACAAAGAACATGTTTATCAAGACAATGTCCTGTACAAAGGACATGATTAATCATAAATATCTGCCTATTCTTCAATCATAGCATATCACTTGTTTCATATTTTATTAGTACAATCCAGAAGATATCCTTACCAAATGATCTAGGTGCTGGGGGAATATAAGCCCCATAAGCCCTATCACCACCTTTGGGAATATCAGACTCATTAAACTTCACTTCCAAATGAGGCTTAGCTTTAAGACCACCACTTTTGACCAAGCGAACAAATCTCAAAAGGGTTTCTTCAGGAATCTCAAGTGAGCCCACATTCAGCTCAACAGTGTCAAACCCCAACTGCTTGCACTCCTGATACAAGATCAATAATAACATGTAACTAAGTCAAGAACAAAAGTTCATCACAAAATAATAAAAAATTATTGAAAAAAGTGGCCATATACCTCCACATAATCTTTGAAACCTGATGGACCTTTACGAATCATATGCTCAGCCCAATCACCAGTACTAACATAAACATCATGCTGATGTGCCATGTCTATCACTTGTTTGATAAAAGTCTTTGGCATCAAGCTGTGAGAACCTCCAGAAAACTTCAACCCATCAACATATTCTCCCATAGATTCAAATATATCCTTCACAAAACACAACACAACACGTCTTCACTACACAACGCTAATAATAATTAAATAATTAAACCCATCATGATCCACCATAATCACTAGTAATCAAAGACCTTTAAGCTCAATTCAACCTGATTGTACAGGAAACAACAGAGTCATGAATTGAATGAGGAATGGGAAATGGGGTTACCTGAAGAACGTTGTGGCTAAAGAGAGTGTAATGAGGGCTTCTCATTTCAGTGACGCCATAGCGGCGAGGCTTGGTGGGGCGATCCTCGTTTTCGTCGAAATTTTTCCATCGGTATGCTGACATTGTTAGTTGGGTGAGGTGAGTGAGGAGAATTGAGAGGGAATCAGATTCCAGTTTAGTGTGGATTTGATAATCCCTTTCTCTCTTTCTTAGTTTCCTTCTCCTAAAAGCAACTTATTAGTTTATCCAAATGTGGAAGGTGGCAGAGGAAAAGAGAACAATGGAGTTCTTTCTAGAAAACGCTGTCACTATTCAAGGAGGTGGCAACACGTTACTTTTTTTTATTTTTCATATTAACAACTGTTTTGTTTTGGCTTTTGTTTGCGAGAGAAAAAAATGACGCGGTCAATGTTTTTATGTCTATGTGACAGACAAATTTGTCTATCTAAAAAATGTTTATTTCAAAAAATTTAAATATAACATTTGTCTACCTAAAATATTACTCATATAATATTTGTTCATTATCACTTCTTTCTTAAGTGATTACGATTAATATTAAATACTTATTTTTTTCTTTATTTTAACATGTGACATACTCGTGATGTTATACTATATTATTGCATATAAGTGTAAACTTTGTTTTACATTATGCATCAAAATGAAATCATTTGTCAGTGTAAATGAAATTGAATTTTGAAATATTATTAATATATACATTATCATATATTTTTCGTTTGATACCTTGTTTTAAAAGTTTTCTATATTAATAATTTAGGAAAAATAAAATAATTAAATAATATAGAGAAAAGTATTTCTCCGGTCACTGGAGATAAAGTTATCTCCAGTGAGCTCAAAACGATGTCGTTTTGAGATTATAAGATTAAAAATTATAATAATAAAGACTAAAATAACCTTTTAAAATATTAAATTACAAAAACACATTGATTTTTTTTCGAAAACAATGTTGTTTTGAGCTCACTGAAAATAACTTATCTTCATTTTTTACCCAATAATATATTAATAATGATACTGTAGATTTTTTTAAGATGATAGTAATATAATTCTTTTCTATTCTGACATAATGTGAAAATTAAATTCTAATAAATATATAGTAAAATTCATTCTATATATATATAGAGAAAATATTTTTTCATGTTGCATAAGAATTTAATTCTCATATTGTGATTTTTTGATTTACGTGCAAAGTTTTTTTTTTTTTTTAATAAATATGAAGCCCACCACTAATTGAGTCAATATGAGAATTTAATTCTCATGTAATATAAAAAAACCAAACGTATAATACCTATTAACTTTAGGATGATTAGATATGCTCCATGGGTAATATATGTGTTATGTTATAAGGAAACAGAAATAATTCCTCCAATACCAAAATTGATGTGGGACCCATTGATAACTTTTCTCTCTCCTTAAGTTTATTTCTCTCTCAGTTTTTTGTCTCTGCAGGAACTTTTTTCATTTTTCGGTAAGATTACACATGTATTACCCATGCTTTATTGTATCAAAAGTAAAAATCATTTTATATTTGGACTTATTATTTAATTATTTTTAGTGTTTGAGCAGCTCTTTCATGTTATAAAAAAAAGTTTATCTGTCATAAATATAAAAGTCTCAATTGTGTGCACTTTTTCTTTTTAAGTTCTTCAATTTTTTAAAAAAGCTCATACCAAAATATAAAAGTTATTTTTCAAAAAAAAAAAATTATTAAAAAAAAGTACACACATATAAATAGGTGTACATTTTTATATCTCAAAGTATCATTATACTTATACAAAATGACGGTTGTATTGGGTTTATCTTTATTAACATAATAGGTTCGGACTTAGAAGCAAGGGTGTAAGTGGTTTAGAAGCCTATTAAGTATTTACGACCAAGCCTCTCGGATGTCATGCTGACTTAATATATTTAATAAAATAAAAATTAATTAAGTTTTTTTTTTAAAAAAAAATCCTTATTAGCTTATATAATATTATTTATTTTCAATAAAATAAATAAAATTTTATTTAAATAATTTTAAATAATAAAATAATAATATATATATTTTTTAGTTTGTGATAAATCTTGAAGGCATTATAAGCTTGAATAGCTTAATTGGTTTAGGTTAGTTCTTTTTATTTTCAATAAACCTTATAATTATTATTATTATTATTTTAGTACATAAGGAGGTCTTAAAGCCCAGAAAGCAGACAAAGAAAAAAAACCAGACAAAAAAACAACAACAAGAAACTAAAATCCAGCAAAGTGAAATTACCTAACCAGGAGCTATGGGAACATACAAAATTATCTAAAGCCATAAGCCTTTCTAAACGAGGGACAAAAGTGAATTGCTGAAAAACAGCATCTTGAGTAGTTGTCTCGTGAACAAGTCAATTAGCACAAGAATTAGCTTCTCTGAGTGTGTGTTAAACATGAATTCTCCGGTCTTTATTAATGCAGGATCTTATACCCTTAATAAGACGAGACTCAGGTCGTCTAGGGTCAGGATTCTGAAGCTGATTAACAATTGACAAATTGTCTCCCTCTACTACTATAAGGTTATACCTTATAAGGGCAAATACTATGCGACGATTAGGTTATACTCAAAATATTTTATATTAAATTTTGTCTATTCAAGCTAAAATCTAATATAATCCAGCTGATTTACTCCTAAGGCAAATACTATGCTACGATACATCAAGAGATGTGCCATTAATGAGATAGAGATCGAGAGAATCCTCTGCTTCCTTTATATTTAGTTTACTAATAGATATAATGGGAAGGACGATTTACATGAATTTATTATGGGAAAAAAAAGTGTCAGTTAAAAGGACACAATAGTTGGGTCCTTTTAGATGATTTACACAAAGTATGACCGGTCATACTTTGTTAAATTTGAAAAATTGCTTTTTTTTCTCTTTCCTCAATCACATCACTGAAGTGTAAAGTGAAAAAAAAAGTAACTTTCCAGAATTACACAGAGTATGACCGGTCATACTCTGTGTAAGTTACTAAAAGGACACAATTTATGTCCTTTTAAATGACATATACTAAACCCATTTATTATAGGAAAAAACTATTCTCATGATATATGATATTAGTTTTTCTTCTTACAGACCTTTTGATAATTGTGTAAATTTATTTTTTTTCAAGTGGTGAATTCTACCGTTATGTGTGATCCAACGCTATGAGTCTATAGCCTGAGATTCCTCGTCTCATGTTACATGAGAATAGATAAGGCTTTTATTATAATGAAACAATATTTTGGAACATGCTAAGTTGCAATTATCATCTTTTGGCCACAACTCCTACGACCAAAATAGTTAAAGAAAAATAATGATATTAAATGTAGGGAGGCTCTTCAGCAATATTGGTTCCATTTCACTGTCATGAGATCACCTGGCCATACTTCCATACCACGGATTTGGACATTCCTTGTTGGTGAAACTCTGCTTTCCGTGTCCCTCATGAAAGGAATATTAGAAAGGAAAAAACAGAAGAAGCATAAAGCAAAATGTTAAGACAAAAGCAGCTTTTACCCTATAATCACATTCACAGCTAAATGCTCTCATATAAAAATAAGCAGCAAACCTGGCACAATCTTTATTCTTATTCCTCCATTAGGGATGACATGGAGTGCTTCTCTATTAAAGTGAGGAGTTATGACCAAGGTAGCTAACACCCTTTACTATATCACCTTTGAATTTTGGGAAAATGGCCAAAAACTATGGATTTTTTCTTGTTTGCATTCTTGTCATGGTCATGGATATTGTTGCCGGCATACTTGGAATTCAAGCAGAAATAGCTCAAAACAAGGTAATCCAAGAGCAAACATATCTCAATTAAGGATCCATTATTGAGAACATTAACGAGCCTTCTTTTTAATCTATTGGGACAAAAACAGGTGAAGGATTTGAAGATGTGGATATTTGAGTGTAGGGACCCTAGTTATGAAGCTTTCAAGCTAGGACTTGCTGCTGCTATTCTCTTGGCCTTCGCTCATGTAATTGCTCACTTGTTTGGTGGGTGCATTTGCGTGCGGTCCAAAGAAGAATACCAAAGAGCCACAACCAATAGGCAATTAGCCGTGGCATTTCTCATTTTCTCATGGTAAGTCTTTCACTTTCTCTTCAATGTGCATGTACCAAAAATTTCAATTTCATCTGCATCTTGTAAATGAACCATTTCACCTAAACGATTATGCTATTAAGTGAATATCTTTTAAATGGTTTTCATATTTTTTAACACGTCCCTTGTTGGGTTTATGTTCTTTTACTTAAGTCCAATTAGGCTAAGAGTATAAGAAGAGTTCAAGAAGTTTAGAGCTCAAAGAGCTTAGGGCTAGAATTTTTTAGTATCCATATAAATACTATTACTTAATTCATCAGCCTCTTAGGTGATTGATCAAGAGAGGTAAGTTCAAAAAGTGTCAACACACTTTTCCTTCCCACTCGATAGATAACTTGGAAGGTTTACTAGAACCTAGAGAGATCTGTTTGTACTGCGACGCAGGAGAGGTCAATTCATACTGTCTTAGAGGACACTGATTCGTGGAACATCATCTACGATCTGTGCTACAAGAGTTAATTAGAAAAATGATGATGATCCATTACATTCCAAACCGCAACAGCCTGAAACACATCCGCAGATCTAATTGCGCCTATACCCCTCACACAAGAACTCATTGGTTTGAACGATGAATAATGTATCAGTCCCACATCCCTCTTAAGAACTCCAAAATATTTAATTATTATTATTTTTAATTGAATAGGGTTAGTAAGAATTGAATTCGTGACTTCATGATTTCGAAGACTCTGATACCATATAAAACAATTATCTTACCTAAAAACTTAAACTATTAAATAAATACATTTTTAATGGTTCTTATATTTCTCTAACACATCTTTGCACTTAAATAAACTCATTCTATCAATTTGGTCTCAAGTTGAACTTACCCTTTACCATATCATAGCATAAAGAGATTAAAATATTGATGTGCTGGTTGCTGAATTGGTGTTCTTTGCAGGATAGTATTAGCAGTTGCATTCTGCATGCTCATCATAGGCACACTAGCCAACTCAAGATCAAGAGAATCGTGTGGGATATCAAACCATCGGTTTCTATCCATTGGAGGGGTTTTATGTTTCATTCACGGATTGTTCACTGTTGCTTATTATGTTTTTGCATCGGCAACAACAAGGGAAGAAAAGAGACAAGGAGTAGGCCACACTTAATGTGACTCACTTAGTTAACTTAACCAAAACACTAATTCTAAGACCGAGCATGTCAACAAACATCTTACTAGATAAGAAATGTACTATCATTCGTTTTTTTTTCCTTCTATTCTTTCATGGAGTAAAACTTAATTGTATTATTATTAAACCAATAATGTATTATCTTATTTTATTATGGTAATAATGACTTAAGAAGTTAACTTTTTTTATTATAGTGATAACATATAATTAAAGTATATATATATATATAGAGTAAATAAAACAGAAATAATATGGGGAGAGTTATATTTACAAACTTTTTGTTTACAAGCTCTTACAAACTACACTATGTACTCTCGGGAGAACACTAGGTCTAGGTTACACTATGTTCTCCCGTGTGTACATAGTGTAATTTGCAAAAAATTATAAAAAATATTTGTAAACGGATCCTTACCTAAATAATAGATGTACTGTTTTTGTATAGATTCTTCACAAATGTCTTAAAAAGGTGTTAATGGTATGAGCGAAAGAAGAAAATGACTGCTCGTTGTCTTGCAGTGGGTGAAGAGGCTTGGCTTGTGTTCTGTACTAAAATGCTTATTTATTAGGGGTGAACATACCACCGAATCATTCTTAGATGCAATGGGTGCTTATTTTTGTTGGCTTGGATCGGATTTAGAAAAAAAAAAAAAAAACTGATATCCAAATTGAACTGATCAATTCTTAAAATTAAAAACTAAACCAAACCCAAAAAATTTAGTTTGATTAGATTTGAACACTCTTATTTTCTACTAATTAAAATTCTATTTTTTTTTTTGTTAGAAGAGAGCCTAAAATGATTTTTTTTGGTAGATATATCTAAATCCAAATGTGACTAATTCGGTTTTCGATTTGAGATGCTTGAGAATTCAGGTATAAATATAGATGGATTTCAAAAAATTTAAATTAAACTTAATTATTTAAACTCAATACCTAATATTATTCTCAAACGGTCAATATCTATCTCTTACAAAATATATTGTCCTCACCTTTTTTCTTAACCAATTATTATTTCACTTTCCTTCTTAATAAGAGTGATTTGACCATTTTGACCTTGTTTCACCAAGCATTATCATTGTCAAACATTCAACCCTTTTAGGGAACGTTTGGTATAGCAGAAATTTTTTATTTACCGAGAAAAAAATATTTCTTGGAATATGGTGAGGAATATTTTCTCCCAAGTTAGGAAAATGTATTTGGTAGGCAAAAATATTTTCGAGAAAATTGAGTTATTTTTACTGATGCTATGTTTGGTTGATTGTGAAATATTGATGCGAAAGTATACTGAAATTACAAAATTACCCATTATTTTAAAATATTGAATCACATCATCCCACGTACGTTTTAGCATTTCATAACCACGTTTAACATTCTCGAATTTTTCTCTTTTTGTCTCTTTCTTCTTCATAAATGACATTCCTTCCTCAACCCCAATAAGGTGCTAATGAACACCAACGTCGACGTTCACACAACCCGTGGCACACCCATTCGGTACCTCCCACTCGATCACCTTTACTCCGCCACCACACCCATTCGCTTTTTGCTCTCTTTGTGAAATATGGAAAATTCATTGGTCTGCTTTAATTTTTGTGAATTTTTCTGAAGTGTTATTTGTTTGGACTCAAGAAATAGAAAACTTCGTGAAGTTGAACTTTACTTAAATGTTTAGCTCTGTAATTTTTTTATTTTTATTTTTTGGGTTTATGATTTCTGTGTGGTTGGAAGGAGAAAATTTTATGTGAATGTTAAGGGGCTGTTTGGTATGGAGATTTTTTTAGAAATCCTGATAAGGTGGGGTGGGGTAAATTTTTTTCAACGTTTGGAATGAGAAAATTGAAAATCTTTTCGGGAAACTTTTTTTCCCATCATTTCAGTTTTAACTACAGAATCCCAAACGAAAGTATTATTTGATACATGATATTTTTATTTTCCCATAGCATCAGTATAATATTTAACTCAATATTCTCGAAAAAAATTTAGACCTAACAAACACATTTTCGTAACTTATCTAGGAAAAAAAAATTCCACTATATTCCCTGAAATCTTATTTTTTTTCTGGTAAAAAAAATATTTCCTCTACCAAACGCCTAAGTAACAAGCCAGCCAATTCCCTCCTGTCTTCTATGTCTTTATGCTTTCAAATTTCAATCCAACTTTTTCACTTTTCATTTCAAATTCATTTTTCTTAATTTTAAATGTTTAATCATGTTTTACTTTTTGTATGATTAGTATGTATATTTGTGAATTGAAAATGGTGGATTGCAATTTAGATATTTTGCATTTGGTTGTTGCTTAAAAAAAAGAAGAGTTTCGCTTTAATTTTATTTATTTTTTAAATATGCATGACCTGATCGGATCACCAATTTTTATAAAAACCAGTCGAGTCAACCTGGTTCTCATTGGATTTGTTGCATAACTGCTTCGTTGGTTAACTCAAACCAATTAGATCACCACTTCTAGTTTTCGGGTCAACCCGACCGAGTCGAGTCGGGTTTAATAACACTGCAGATGAAAATACAGACAACAACGACATGAGAATCCTACGGGGTTTGCTCACGCTAGAAAGATTTCCTTGGAGTAGCACTTTGATTGTCGGAGGAGGATCTTCAAACCAGCATAATATTAGGTATTTAAGCGAATGTCACACAGAAGTTTATTTTGATCCAATTTTCCCGTGGTGGAACCCATCTGATGTGCTTTTCTGAGAATACTCGCGATAATAAGGCCCCATTTCCTGTCATGCGCATCGCTCGCATGGAGGATATATCTAACCTCGTGTCTAATCTTGTATCTAACCTTTTTAAATTAATTTAAGGCTTTAATGTAAAGTGAATGTAGATAAGTTATCTACATTCGTTCTCAAGACGACGTCATTTTGAGTTGAAAAATTAAAAAATTATAATGAAAAAGACTACACTGGCGGTTTCTCAAAGGCGGTTAGAAGAAAAGCCGCAAACTTCAAAATCTTCATCACATTACTCCTCCTCTCATTTTTCTTTTCATTTTCTCATTTGCATTTGCATTTGCATCAGACCTTCGTATGTATCTCACTCTCAATCACATTGGTTATCGAAGATTCAAAAAAATAATAGTGATTGAGGAAAGTTATATTGGCTACATATTTTTTTTTTCATTTTAGATTTGAATATAAAAAATATAATTTGTTGAAAAAAGTATGGGAGAGAGAAGGGAAAAAAGAGAAACAAAATTTATAATTGTTTTTTTTAATATTATATTTGAGATAGTTGATTTAAATCAAATTTATAATAAGGGCACAAAGATTAAATAGGTAAAAAATATAACTATTCCTATAATGGATTAATTGTCCGTCACAGTGATATATTTGATCAAGTTTTCTCTACATGCTAGATATGATTATGGTTCTTAAATAGGAGATATATATACCCAGAATAAATCGAAAGCGTATAGAAAATTGACTAAACAGAAAGTTAGGATTTCATAATAGGGTAACCCTCTGATTCTCAATTATAATTAACAAAATAACAAAATTCAACTCATAAAATAAGGATCTTAATCATCATTTTATAGACTAATTACAAATTAATCCAAAATTTAAAATTTAAAATCTTAAAAATAATAAAAAAAGCCTAAATAACAAAAGGATAAACACCTAATAATTATTGAAAAATCCTTAATTATAAAAAAGCCCAATCTAAATCAGTCAGCTCGAGTTCATCAATATTATTTGACCTTTATAAAATATGTTTTCTCCTAATCAAAATTTTCATGTAAAAAAAAATAACGAATATTTTTTTTTTAAATTTAAAAAGATTAAACAGTGTTTAGTAAGGGTGAAGTGCAAGTTTTATCAAATTTAGATTTTTTTTTATTAATTTAACAAATTTCAAGATAAAGAAATTTAATTATTATTACTTATAAGAAATATGACCGTTAGTTTTAAATTTTTTTAATTTGAAAAACAAAGGCTCCACTTTCAGAACATGAGGACGAAAAGTCCCTGAAGCGCCAGATCCGAATACAAATTCCACGCTCAACACTCTAACTCTCTCAACTTTGTAAACCCTAATCCCCAATCCCAATTCACTGCACAAAATTCTCAATTTCGAAGCCACACATGGCTTCCCGTAACCAGAACCGTCCTCCTCGCAGCTCCTCTAACGTAAGCCTTTCTCTGTCCTCTCGAATTTGTGCTTTTTAATTATTTGAATTTAACACAACCACAAATGAGTTCGTATTTTCAATTGGCTCTGAAGCACCGTTTATTCCATCCTTTTATATCGCGCTCAACGAGAACGAGAGTAGTGTGGGTATTTAAAGGTGATTTTTTTTTGTTTTTTGTTTTTTGATTTCAGAAAAAGGTGGGTGCCGAAGAAGTGCTCTCAGACAGGGGTCGAAGGATTGGAGCTGGGAGTGCTAGAGCGCCGCTTTCTTCTGTGAACAATCAGTCAGATGATGCGGTGGCGAGTGACGTTGCGGAATGTAGTACTGTTGAGTTCACAAAAGAGGATGTAGAGACATTGCTGAATGAGAAGATGAAAAAGGGGAATCCTTATGATAATAAGGTTTACTTGGGTGATTCTTAATTTAATCTATTATTATAATTTTTTGGGTGGTTGTTGTAGTAGACCTTGTTATGTGGGTGTTTCATTGTTTTTTCCCCCCTTTTGTTTTGCAGAAAAAAATGGACCAGATGGTGGATCTTATTAAACGGCTTAAGCTCTGTGTTAGATGGTTTAAAAAAGTTGAAGAAGATAATGTTCAAGAAAAAGAAAAGCTTCAGTCTGAACTGGAGTCTGCTGAGAAGAAGTGCAGTGATACTGGTTAGTTATTTACTGCTGTGGGAGGACTTATTTGGATTTTGAGAGCATTAAGCATTGTTATTAGGTTGCTAGAATTTGCATTGTACTTGTAGTAGGAAAGTCTATTGTGGGTCTTGTATGCTGTGTCAATAGCAGTTAGGAATTTAGGTGAAAGAGTTTACTCATAAATTGAGACCTCACTTTTAAGTGTAATTACCAAGTGATTGTAATGATTAGGTAGGTATTGTAGAAAGCTTGTTCTTTTTAATAGAACCAATGATTTTACTTTGCATTATCCTGTCTGTCGTCCCTGAAAGACCTCATTATTACCTCTGGTTGTCAGTTATAAGAATTAATATTAAAATAACACGTTTTTAATCATCACACATTTCTGTTTTCTCAGAGACTGAGATGAAAAATAAGATTGAGGTGTTGAATGAGACTATAGCTGATTTGAGGAAGACAATTTCTTCTTTAGAAGAGAGAATTGCGAATGAAGAATCAGATAAATTGGTAAGGTTGCCTGTTAGCATTGTGATTGAATTTATCAAGTGGTGTTCTTTGTTTTCTGATCGCCTAATTTCTTGTGGGTTGACTATTAGGAAGCAATTAATTGTTATAGAAAAGAAAAGGAAGCCAGAAGCGCAGCTGAGAAAGTCCGGGATGAGAAATCAGCTGAGCTTGAGAAAGTTCGAGATGAGAAATCAGCTATTGAGCAGAAGGTAATGCTATGTTATATTCTGGATAAGTTAGTCATTGGTTAAATGTTGAAATTTGCTGCCAAGTTATACAAAATTAATTCTCTATTAGGTAAATTCTTTACTGGATTTAATGATGTCCATGTTTATTGGTAATTTGGTTCCTGTGGATTTCCTCACTGTTTTTTTCTTATGAAACTGTTGAATTTTGCAGGCCATTTCAAATGAGGGCGAGTACAAGCGATCACAAGAGTATAATATGAGCCTGCAGCAGTACAACAGTCGTCTTCAGTCAGATCTTGAAACAGCTAATGAGGCACATAAACGACTCGAAACAGAGAAAGCAACCATTGTTGAGAGTCTTGGTAATGTTAGAGTTCACAATAAGGCATTGCAGGATCAGATAGTATCTCTTAAAGTAAGTTGTTTCAATATGATATTTGTTTGTTATTTTGTTTACTCCTGTACTGTTAAGTTTTGTATGTTGTTTTGTCAATTGAGAGTTTTGATTCTTGAAATTTTCCCACTGATGTTGGGAAATGTTTTTAATTAATTGAAATGTTGTGAACATTTTGGAAAATTTTGCTGCCTCGGGCACAGAATGAAAGGGAGTACCTTGATAAAGCTTGGCGTTGCTATATTGTCTTGAATTTCTGTTAATTGTGCCAAGGTGTTGGCATTCTTCAACTGAGCATTTGAATTTCAACTTTTATAATAATTCTTAACATGTCATAAGTAAGCTTGTTGTGGAGAGGAATTAATTTGGACTTGGAGCCTTATGTATTTTGCTATTATTATTATTATTAGACTAATTTCATATTGTTATTGAAAATATCATAATAGTCTCTCTCCTTATTGTGTTGTTTTGTTGCCTCTTTTTTTATCCTTGTTTATCAGGTCTCACAGGATGAGGCTATAAAGCAGAAAGATATGTTAGCAAATGAACTAAAATGCCTCCGTCAAGAATTAAAACAAATTAGAGATGATCGTGATCACCAACAAGGGCAAGTAAATGCTTTAACTGGAGAAATAGAAAAGTACAGAGAATATACGGTGAAATCATGTGCTCAATTGGATACCTTGATGATTAAAACAAATGCTCTTGAGGTTTGTTGTTTTGTTTTGTCCACAGCTTTTGGAAATCTAATTGATTGTGCACTCGTGCTTTCGTTAAATTTATACAAATGTGTTGTGGGTTTTCTTTATAGGAGACTTGTTCTTCTCAAAAGGAGCAAATATATATACTCCAGCAGCAGTTGACTTCTGAAAAGGAGAAATTAAAGGTAAGGCAGTTGACTTTTACTTTTAACATGGAACGCTATTAAATTTTTCTTGGAATTAGATGATAAAATGGTATATGGTGATTTTTCCTTTTAGTATTTAATGCTTATTTGATAACTAGAACCAACATAAACTTCTATTTTCTTTCTGTTAGATGGTTGATTTATCTGCTTCAGAAACAAGAAAAGTATTTGAAGAGCAGAAAAGAATTATACATGAACTACAGGATCGACTGGCAGATAAAGAATTTCAGGTTGTTGAAGGAGAAAAGCTAAGGAAAAAATTGCACAATACTATCCTGGTAACGCTTTATTATTATTATCATTAAACATCTAAATCTCCCTTATAATGTAATGCATAATAGTTCAATGACATGCAATTATTTCTATTTCAAGGAGCTAAAAGGAAATATTCGTGTGTTTTGCCGCGTGCGACCTTTACTACCGGAGGATGGTGTGGGAACTGACATGGTTGTTTCTTACCCTACATCAACAGAAGCGATTGGCCGGGGCATTGAATTGGTACAAAGTGGTATGTACACAAACTTTGTTGACCCTTCTCTATTGCCGTTTTTCTTATCGGTTTCATGTAGTACACATGCATTGTTAATTATTAAAATCCCTTCTTTTATTGGTTAGCAGGGCAGAAGTATTCTTTTACATTTGACAAGGTGTTTAATCATGAGGCTTCTCAGCATGATGTTTTCATCGAGATATCACAGCTGGTACAAAGTGCACTTGATGGCTACAAGGTGATTTTTACTTTGCCTCCTTGCGGTTCATTATATGTCAGGCAGAATATACTGCATAGAAAATAGGTGTAACAAAGGTTAGAGAGAAAAAATTCTAAGATAGAAGAATAGCTACCAATGGCGTTTGAAACAATGTTTTTTTTTTTTCTCCAAATACCAAGGATAATTTTTGCATTCGAGATCCTACAAAATTTCTTGGTTGCACTTGCAGCAAAGCCAAAATTGTGTGGTTATTAAATTTGGGATATTAGATTTTGATTTAAATGTATGAGTTGTGTGATTCTTGGTTTTGCACTTCATGAGGTGTGTGATTTAAATGGTCATTAGTTACTTTGGTTGTTGCTAAGTGTCCACTGTGGTCTTTATCTCTGTTTATGTATTGAGTTTAGCCTTACTCTTAAGAAGATCAATTTTTGTTGCTTGAAATTCTTGTTCTTTAAATTTATTTTTGCTTATTATAAACTTTGCCTGGTGTTTTGTTCAAATAGACTGCTAGGAGGAGGGCATATCTCAGAATTTCCAACTTCCCCCTGTCTTTGATATCTTTGATGTTGTTTTGGAAAATTAATTCTATGGTCCCTTTCTCTCTCTTTCCTCTTCCTCTCTCCTCTTTCCTCTTCTTTCTCTCTACCCGGCTCACATGAGCCGGGTCTACCAAATATTTGCTCGTTGTTTTGTGGCTTAAGAGAACTTAGAGTTGTGTTTATTTCTTGAAAAGTCGTTTATCCGTCCTGAGATGCAGCATAGAAGTGGAATGGATTTTACAATTCTAGACATGGTTACTGTGGAATTACGATGCCTTTGGTTTGTTTTCTATTTTCATTTTAAGTTAATATCTTTTCATTAATAATTGCAAAAAATGTCACCTTAATTTTTACTTTATTTTCTGTTTTTAAGAATTTGCAAACGAGGTGGCATTTTTATGATTATGAATGAAAACCTATCAATCAACAAAAATTATACCGAAGTACTTAATCTTTTCTCTCATATTTTCTATGGCTTTTGTTTGTGTTGTTTTGGGTATAAAGTATAAACTGTGACTTGACAGAGGACCACAATTTTTTGTGGCAGGTGTGCATCTTTGCTTATGGGCAGACGGGTTCAGGAAAAACATATACAATGATGGGTAGGCCTGATGCCCTAGATCTGAAAGGGTTGATACCACGTTCTTTAGAACAAATATTCCAGACTAGTCAGACCCTGAAAGACCAGGGGTGGAAATACAAAATGCAGGTTAATAAACTTCATCTTGATTTTCAATTTTTCAAGTGGTCAAATTTATAAATGGAAACTGACATATATTATTATATATTCCAGGCATCAATACTGGAAATATATAATGAGACCATTCGGGATTTGTTATCATCAAATCGGTCAAGTGGGATTGACCAGATGCGAACAGAAAATAGTGTTCCTAGCAAGCAGTACACTATTAAACATGATGCAAATGGAAACACACATGTTTCCGACCTCACAATTTTAGATGTTAGTAGCGTGAATGAGATTTCCTCCCTCCTGCAACAGGCTGCGCAAAGCCGGTATGGTTTTTGGTCTATGTTTGGCTGAGCAAATGTTTCTTTTGCTGGGGAAGCTATGCTTGAATGTAACTTTTCAGAAGAATATGTGCAAGAATGCATTCTTTTTTTCACGTGAATTTCAAATGACTTTCTTATTCCTTTTCAACTAACCAGTTGTTGAAGCTTTGAACTTTCTTTTACTATGGTATAATTCCAGAATAAATTTCAGTGTATTTGATTTAGTTGGAAGATGTAACGCTTAATGTGTAGTATATTATGTGCTCTTGTTCTTGGTCTACAATCTACGTATAACTGGATTAGATTTATAAACGAAGAAAATAAGGAACGGTGACTCTCTTGTTTTTTCAGGTCTGTGGGAAAAACACAGATGAATGAACAGTCATCAAGAAGCCACTTTGTCTTTACTTTGCGTATATGTGGGATAAATGAGGTACTTGCTTTCATAATACATTTGTTATTTAAGTTACTGTTCTTCCGTCCTGACACTTTATTTTCTGATGTACTTTTCTCTATTTTGCAGAACACTGAACAACAAGTTCAAGGTGTCATAAACCTGATTGATCTGGCTGGAAGTGAAAGATTGTCAAGGAGTGGGGCAACTGGGGACAGGTTGAAGGAAACTCAGGTGTCTATTTGATTTGCACTGTTATGAACTTGAGCTCTTTTTTAATAATTTTACTTTCTTTAATAAGCTAGTAATTTTTATTCTTGCCACGTTCAGGCTATCAACAAAAGTCTCTCCTCTTTGAGTGATGTCATATTTGCTTTGGCAAAGAAAGAGGAGCATGTTCCTTTTAGGAATTCAAAGCTGACATACCTTCTCCAGGTATGTTAACATATTAAATTTTGCATTATTAATGAATTAATCAGTGATACTACTCACATGGGGTGTTTGATGATTTTATTTTCAATCTAAATGGCATTTCCACATATGGTGGCTTTAATATGCTTGTTCGAGGTATTTGATTCCTATTGATTTAATAATTAGAAGCAGAGACATTAAGGAGAACGGTGATTTTTTTAGGGGGTGGGGGTAAGGTTATGGAGCCACTTAAAGCCTTCGTAGGCTGTTCAATATTTGACTCTTATTTTTTAACATGCTGCGTATTTCAAGTGTTAAATCTGAGTTATGTTGAAGTTAGATATTGTACCGGGTGTAAACTGGACTTGATTATCATATTTGAAGTGTTAAACATAGTTAGATGTTATGGAGCCACTTAAAGCCTTCGTAGGCTGTTCAAAATTTGACTATTATTTTTTAACATGCTGCATATTTTAAGTGTCAAATCTGAGTTATGTTGAAGTTAGATATTATACCTGGATGTAAACCAGACTTGATTATCATATCCTGTACTTTAAGATGGTCAAAAGTTTTATGTAGGAATCATTTTTCCCCTACAACTGGGGGATGAAACCAATTATGCTATTATAACATAATCTACGATGACACCGTGCCCCTGCCCATTCCATTTCTGGGAATGAAGGAGAATGTGGATTACTATATTCTACTCAACTTTAATGTTTATTCTATCTTATATGGCTTTACACAATTATATTGTTCATCGCAGTAGATCTTAGTTTGCAATTTGTTTAGTTACACAAACCAAACTACTTAGATGTTCTTCTCATGCTTCCATAACTTAGATATGTTGTATGCATGACAGCCATGTCTTGGTGGGGATTCGAAGACGTTGATGTTCGCTAACATCTCGCCTGATCAATCTTCAACGGGTGAGTCACTTTGCTCTCTCCGCTTTGCGGCCAGAGTCAATGCCTGTGAAATTGGAATTCCGCGGCGTCAGACTCAGACATCCACACGGTCCTTAGATTCTCGATTGAGCTGTGGTTAAAGGAGAGGTTTGCCTCCACACACGCATCATCATTGACAAAAAATAATTGTTCTTTCCTGCTTTAGCGGTAGAGAAAAATGTATTCTGTATGCTGCTGTGGTAATTGTAAGAGTGTAAAATTTTAGAGAATCGAGCTTGTGTAAATTGGTTGGAGAGGCTTGGCTTTAGCCTCCAAAGATACTACTGATAATTTGTACCATTTAGCTGTGACATGATAGTAGTCAATTTATTTATTTGGCATTGGGTTGATTCTGAATAAAACTTCAGCTAGGAGAATTCTTGCTCAAAAAGTTCTTCCTAGAGTGTTTAAAACAAATTCCTGGTCCTTTACTTTTTACCCTTCATTCTTGGGGGGGTGATATTTTGTTTTTATGGCATCATTACAAAAGAGAACAGCAAAAAAAGCTGAAGAACAAGACAACAAAGGAAACTAGAGAGCATGGCATTGGAAAGTCCTTCCTGGAGTTAAAAGAAAGCCAGTACATTGGGATTGGGGCCGTGAGACTCGGTTCACAGAGCTCGTTTTTCCTATTTTCAGAACTTTTGCCAATTTTCTTTATCTAACTTGTATGTATCTATTCATCTCATAATTGGGAGTTTCAAATATGACAGACTAATGAGACTTGGTTAAAGGATTTGCGTAAATTTTGACAAACTTTCATGTCAAATGGAGCTCAAAATCTGACCTCCTGTACTTAGGTCTATTTGTTGTTGAGGAATTATTTAAAATTGCACATATGACTGTATAGATAGATAATTTATGTTGTTCAGAACACGTTAAAATAATAATTTGTAAATGTGAGAAACCTATAGGCTATAGCTATAAATTGAGTCTAATTTTTTGAATAATCAGGACCACTAGTATGTAAAATTTAATTTTTAAGGGATATAAAGTTTAAATTATTTTAAAAATAATCATACAACGTTTATTTCATAATTATTATATTTCACTTAATGAACTCAAATATCCCTAATATTTTCATAAGGATTAATTATCTCCTATGATCCAAAAAAGGATGTGATTTTGGGATTATGGGAAAAAAATTGTATGGCATTGTCCATATTCAAATACTGTAGAGCATTAAAATACAATAACATAAATTCTCCCATTTGGATTTGGAAGCTGTTTCATTAATGACTCTTAAATTTGCTCATTTCTTAGTTTGGTAAGAAATGAACCTTCTTTTTCAAGAGAATTTCTTTCAACAAAAATGACTAGTTTTATTCATCTGATTTTCAGGAAGTTGTTACGTGTTCTTGTTGCACATGACATAAATTTTCAGGAAGTTTTATTCATATTGGCTACATTCGCTAGCAAAGGGTTTATGGTGATACAAAAGGTCCAAAATTTGATAACTATATACTCTGATATAGACAAGCAATTCTAGTGAGATAAAAGACTAGCATACAATCAGATACTGATTGAACAAAATTGTTTTTCAACAGGGTAGCTTAAATCCCATGTATCTCCCTGATATATAGTCTCTCCAAATTTCAATGGCTCCGAAACTAGTCATTAGAACAATACTTAAAGTCATCACTATGCTAACCGAAAATACTATTAAGGATGGTCTTCCATAGTTTTGAATTGCTTTCTGCACCACCAATAACCCAAGAAGTGATGCAACAAAACATATTATGGCCAAGATGAGGGCAGTCTCTATGTGTTCCATGCCCAACAACAGATATTGCAAGGCTGACATGGTAGAAGAGAAGAAAACCATGAAACAACATGTTGCTGCTGTCACCTGTACAACAAAATAATTTGATTGCTTGGTCAATACCAATTTAGCAGCCACTATAATCAATAGTGAGCTGATGGATTGGACTAATGCCTAATGTATACAATATTTGTTAGAGAATTCTAATATAAAACCATTAAAGTGGCCATCAGTTAATAACTTAAATTTTTGGATTGAATGTTTTCTATTTATGGTATGAGATTGTGACCAAGTGGTCATGAGTTCACTATGAAATTTCTTAGAACAGATAAATGAGCCTGTACATTATCCACCCCTGAAACCCAATAGGCTCTTGTGTTGAGGTGTGTGTTAGAGAAGTCTAATATAAAATCATTAAAGTGTCTTTCGCTTGATAGTTTAAGTGTTTGGTTTGAATTTGTTCTTTACCATATTTAATACATGATAGGATAATGGAACTTACCTCAGGAGCTATTCCAACCTGAAGGAGAAGTGGACTTATCAGCATTCCACCTCCAATTCCAAAGACACCACCCAATATCCCTGCTAGTAATGCCATCACTGGAAAAATAAGCTTATTTGATGGTCCATTTCTGGATAGGCATGGACCCTGCATAACACTTCGAGGGAAGTTAGCTGTAATTTGATTGAATGATGTTCTAAGCAACATTCAAGAATTAATTTTCAATCTATGATGCTTTACGAACCTCTTGCATAAGATTTTGGTCTTGATGGCTTTCTGTTCTAAATACAATCCAAGCAGTGAAAACTAAAGCAAGAGGGATTTGAACTGATGATAGAATCCAGTATCCCACACCACATGGCTTCATTGGAATGATACTCTGTACAAATTGAACAATTGCATTGCTGCTATTTTAAGACCACCAAACTATAGGAACTAATGATTAATATTGAAAACATTGTAGAAACTAGAAAGTTACATCAAGCAGCTATATGAAAACAATGGTCTAACCTGTCCATATTTGTTGCCACGAAGAAGATAGAGGGTGAAGAAAGAGAACCAGACCAAGAGTAAAACCACCAATTTCAACCATGGGATACTCAATTTTATATTTTTTTCAGGAACCAGAAGATGTTCTTCAATACTTTTCAACCCTTCATTTTCTTTGTTCACTTGAACTAGCCCTTCACTTTCTTCAGTAGTACCATTTTCAAGTTCCTGAAATCCATTTTTCCTTATCTTTTCCGATTCAATCTTCCAAAAAAGCAATCCACTGTGGCAGGTCTTTGAGGTAGACCAAGTAAGAAAAAGGGCAAATATAGTAGTAATCAACCATTCAGGGAATACAAGGTTGCATATAACTCCAATACTCACTCCTAGCAACATACATGGTTCTGACAAAAGTGCTATGTCATAGTCAATCAATGACTTGCCTCCAAATTTAGGACATGTGGCACAAAGATTGCACATAACATTTGCAATTGACCCTCCTGTGACCATGAAAGCTGATAGGCCTGAAGCTGTTTTGAGGTCTAGACCAGCCACAATAGTTAGTATAGGAATAAAAAGCCCTCCACCACCAATACCACCAGCACTTGATATAGATGAAGCAATGAAACACAAGACTCCTGCCACCACCATAGGGCCTGAGATTTGTAATCCTTGTAATTCATTTCTCCATTGATATATTTTGTTCAGGAAATGATCAACACTGAGGATATCTGAAATAGGTTGTGTTTGTTTTGCATGAGAAGTATTGAAGACAATGAAGGTGAAAATCAAACATGTGAGGCTGGGAATCCTCATTTGTTTGTTAAGAGTTTTGGACAACAGTGAGGAGTTTAAGTATGCATAGCTTTGTGGGTTTATGACTTTATATAGGGATAAGGAGGAACTGATAACATAGTCTCTTGGTATGCAAAACCAAATTGATCACATGTTCATGGAATTACAATGGTAGGTAAAAAAAAAAAATTAAACAAAAGAGAATATTGAGATGCTTTTAGGGATACCCTACTCCTACGGTTGGTTCTATTTGTGATCGTGACATATTAAGGGTGTCTCGTTTCTTGTTTTTCTTATTTTTATTATAGAGTAAAGACCATTTTTGATTCCTAACAAAAAAATACGGTCCCCCACTTTAGTCCCTTATAAAAATAAATTAGTCAGTTAGTCTCTAACAAATTCAAGGTGGACCCATTTTAGTCCTTTTGAGGGACTAATATGGGTTTTTTTTTTGAATTTGTGAGGGACCACAATTTCAACTAAATAGGTCCACTTTGAATTTGTTAGGAACTAACTGACTAATTTATTTTTGTAAGGGACTAAAGTGGGGACCGTGTTTTTTGTTAGGGATTAAAAATGGTATTTACTCTTTATTATATATCAGGATATTATGTTTATCTTTTTTTCTCATCGAGGAGAGTCGATTCTTATGGCTTTCAAAGATTTTCTAAAAATTTGTTCGAAGCAGGATTTGAAAGCCTGATCCAAACAAACCCTTGGAGAGTTGAGTTGTTAGCCGAACTATCCTTGGGGTTAGATATGCTTAATATTATTTCTATCCTTTTATTATTTTCTTCCACAAAAATGTTTACAGCATGAAACAGAATGAAAATAAAGTATATTTACGCCTTCTATTAATGTAACATTATTTTTTTTTCATTATGAATAAACAAAAGAGTCACAGACTCATAGTAATTAAGATTTTGTTTATTTATTTATAATGACAAATTTTATCAATTTTTCAAATAAATTGTATCATATAGTTCAGTAACAGTTAACTCTAATCCCACTAATATAATTAGGATCGGTCTAGTAACGAGAGATTTAAATAAATTATATTAAGTTTTGTGTAATTAATTTCTACTTGTATTAAAAAAAAAATATAATACAACGGCTTGTATTTCATATCCTTAAACCAGCAGGTGCACCGAAAAGACACTTGCCACTTGCGGCACATAATGGGGTGCGGACAGAGACTCCCAGGACCCAGGGGTTCGAAATTGTAGTTACTAGATGCTAGTTAGTAGTTATCACCAGGTGGTGCATTTTGACTCTAATGAAAAATAAAATAAAATGCAAATAGATGTGAGTCAAGGAGTGACAAATATGAGACAAAGATAGAGCTGATTAGGTGAAATAAAGTAAATTATAAGAGATAAATAGGGGTTATTCTCTCCTCTCTTCACAATCTTATCTTCACAATCTTAGGTGTGTATGTGTTACAAGTCTCACGTTGGTTGCCTATATAATTAATGTGGAGTTTATAAGGTTTTGGACACTCCCATCCTTTGAGCTAGCTTTTGGGATGGTGACCTCAAGGTCCGTAACAATTGGTGCTCTCGTTGAGAGTTGAGGCCACAGAAAGGGCTACCTATAGGCTGGATTAAGGTGCCTTTGGGCACTGAATACTGATAGGTGAGTGAAACCGCCCCAAAGGGTGGAAAGGACTACCGTCGGGTCAGTGTCGATAGAGTGAAAGTCGCCGTGGACGTCGGTCCTTAAATGGGGTGGCAATGTTAAAGTCCCACATTGGTTGTATAGGAAACTATGTCGGGTCAATGTCGATAGAGTGAAAGCCGCCGTGGACGTCGGCCCTTAAATGGGGTGGCAATGTTAAAGTCCCACATTGGTTGTATAGGAAACTAATGTGGGGTTTAAAAGGCTTTGGGCACTCCCACCCTTTGAGCTAGCTTTTGGGATGGTGATCTCAAGGTCCGTAACAGTATGTGAATGAGATTCATATTTTTTTTCTTCTCCTTATAACACGAGAATGAAGACTATTAAAGGAGTTAGTTCAGGTGATACATACTTGATTCCGTTTAAGCAAATTTTTTGAGTTCAAGTCTTTGAGAATGTAAAATAAATTTTCTTACTCGAATAAAATTATCTCCCGTAAAAAATACATGTGGCTTATAAAAAAAATTATAGAAGAATTTTACAACTACATTTATTAAAATACGTATGTATTGATTTTTTTAATTAAATACGTCTACATTTATCACAGGATCTGGAACAATGTGAATTACCTGCCGCAACTAAATATAACGCATTACAGTAATTAATTACAATGATTTATCTGCTGACTCATTGACCTGGATGCTGATTGGTGAGACATATCCACAACTTGCAAACATAAAGGTTCAATTTTGCTCATATTAAACCTTTCGATCTTATCAGCGAGTATATCTATCTATCTATTTATATATATAGCTAGATATTTTAATTTTTTTTAGTTGATAAAAGTTTAAGTGGGGTTAGACACCGGTATCCCACTAGGGTCAGGGAAGATCCCCAACCTCCTGGGAGGAATTACATATCATCCACCAACAAAGTCCTCACATCGGTCAGCGAAGTTGGAATCCACATCCTTGAAGGGTATGGACCAAACCCTTAGCCAACTATGTCCATCTTTGTTCACATATAGCTAAATATTTTAGATGTAACTTTATTTGTATTTACAACTTGCATTAATTAACTACTAAATAAACAAGGTCAATTATAATACAATAGGTTTGATGTCACAACCTTACGACATCCTTGCATGTTGATTAAATGAGTTGCTATGGTTTCTTAATGGTACCGTGTCAAATATCTATTAATTAAATATAATTAATAACTAACAAGTACTATTCATCTTAATACAATCATCCTTTAAAAATAAGAAAAGTATAGGGTTTCTCTAATTAAATATATAAGACTTGAATGTCTCTACGTGTGTCTCCAATCTGTGGGTTATAGATGGAAAGGGAAACCACTCACAGCAGGAGGAGTCATTGCCCTTGATTTTTATGAAATAGTGTGACGTCGTTGAATTATTTTAAGCCACGCATTTTAATTTTTGTTGTTGTTTTTATCATAATTTTTTCAACATGTATCAGTAGTAATAATTAGACATTTTCCTAAACTACTAGTGAAATATTTAATTTATTTTATTCGTTAGTTGGGCATCATATTCATTTTCTTAATTTGAAATGTAATATATAATCGGTTTAAGTTTGTAAAGAACCATTTCAATCCAAAAGTTTAAATTTGTTGATAAATATAATTGTAATAAAATGTATTATTATTATTATGATAACTACAATTTTATACTCTTAATAGTTTTTAAAAAATTTCTAATAATTAATTTAACCAAAATTTTCTCCAGTAATAATTAAAACTATTCATAATGTCTTTTAATTAAATTAATGCCATATTATCTAGAAAAAAGTGTTTGTCATTTTAAATGACATAAAATTATGTCATTTTAAGAGAGAGATAAACAAAAAAATATTTTTTTGTCTAAAATTTAAATTAAAAAAAAACCACCAACTTTCTCTCCCATGATTTTCATTCATTCTGTCTATTTCTCTTAAAATGACATAATTTATGTCATTTAAAATGAGAAACACTAAATCCTATTATCTATCCTACAATTCTTTTACTTTTCATGGATATTCAGTTTAGATTCGGTATTGTGGGATGAAAAGAAAAGGATATAAGGATAAGATTCGAACTGTTTGTTATATCGATGACATGCTCCCAATCATGTTTACTTTTCTCCATTTCTACAACAATAAATTGATATATATTGGAGAGTATTTGTCAAGGTTACACTCTGATTTCTATTATCTTTTTTTTTTTTTTTTTGTTAAGCTCTGATTTCTATTATCTACCAGTACCTTTTTGTGACTGAAGAAAACAACCACAACTAAAATTAAAAGCGACTTTAATGGTTTTTCATTTTTCCACTTGATGTAAAGAATCAGAGTCTGGCCAAAACTAATAAAAAGAACCCAGTGGACATGTTAAATATATCCAGTTGCATATTATACTTTATGTCCAATTTTAGGTGACGATCTGTAGTTAGGTATGATATGCATGAAAATAATGTAGCCATGGTAGTTATTTTAATGATGATTAAAGGTAGGTAACGCTGACAGCTTAAGAATGAGATAGAATTAGGTTCAAGCTTTCACCTCTAACGCATTTCCTTGCCCAACTTTCAAGATATTTGTTGTATTGCAAAATTACACACATATTTGGGTTATATTAATGAGAATTTTCACTTTACTTTATTTTAGCTGATTTTATTTAGATTATAATTGAATATATACTTTATGTATTATTTGGATTTATAGGTGCATTATTTATAATAGATTTTGGATAATATTGGAGATATATATATATATATATATATATATATATATATATATATATATATATATATATATATATATATATATTTGTAATAAAGAGGGGCAAAAGCCCCAAACAAAACAAAAATTACATGACGCGATAACTTAAAAGATCTACAGAAGCATCCTGAAGAAGGAGCTCTAACAAAGGAGAAGGAGGAGAATGATAAACAATAAGATTATTATCATCCTCAAAATGCCTAGAAGCAAACCAGTGAGCACATCTGTTATTTTCTCGAAAGGTGTCAACGCAACGAACATCCCAATCTTCAGCAAGCCATTTGTGAATACGGGAAACAACCTGAGAGTTTCTGTGATTGTTGCTCCCTTCTTGGATAGTGCTAAGAGCAATTTCCGAGTCACATTCCAACTCCACTCTCCTAGCACCAGTACTCTAGGCCAGCTCTAAACCTTTGAGGATACCCCAGAGTTCTGCATCAAGAGGATTACAGAAACCTAATCTGAAAGAGAAACCACCCAGAAAAGCACCATTGTGATCTCTAGCAAGGCCTCCACAGCTAGCATGCTGCCTAGATAGGGAAGAAGCACCATCTGTATTAATCTTCAACCGACCAGGTTCAGGACGACACCATTTAGTAGGCTGATGGGCATTAGGGAAGCTGC